TAGCAGACCACGAATGACTTACATATGTATATTGTTGGCAAGAGTATGATACATGAACCGAAAATTATATTTTATGTAGCAGATTATGAAGTGTTCTAGAAGGTTTTCAGGGTAAATCAGTTTTGATTTTCTCCGGTTTAATAAAAAACATGATAAAAGAGAGGGGGCGTGGGTTAACAGGGATTTAACAATCTGATTGATCCTGCAGGTGGGAATACTACCAGGGTGGGTAGCTGCGGTTTCAAATGCGAAGCGTACATGAAATGGTGAAAAGTTGTGAAACGGACATAAGTTTGGTATTTTTTTTCCGGTATGAATTTTTGGTACAATTTTTATGTATTGCGAATTTTCTAGAAATGTTAAGATGTTTTGGATTAGGTGATTCAAACTCGTAATAAGTATGCCGTGATTACTACTATATTTTCATAGAGAAGCGTCCATTTTTGTTATATTGTGAACTAAATGACAGAAGAACCACTTACATATCTCTTTACTTTGAAAAATGAAGCAATTAATTAAATGTTAAATGTGACCTAACTTTGATATGCTATCCATTATTTTTATTCAAATATTAAATATAGGGATGCTGGAATAATTGCTTAGTGCATTCAATAAACATTATCTTGTTTAAAAAATGTATCCCGATTTTGTAAGACAGGAACATCATGTTAATCATTTACATTTTATTTCAATTTTTATTTTTTTTATTTTGTTTCACGTTTTCTTTGCCTGTGCATAGGCAGGTCTATTTTTTCACGTGTTTTTCATGACCGGGTCTGTCTGACTTGAACAGACCTGTGCACGTGCAAAAGATAGACCTCATAACGGATTTTCTTTTGTTAAACAGGTCTATCCGAAAAATATAGACCTATCACAAACAATAGAGGAGGTGTGTAACTTTGGAGAACTAAAAGTTAATCTGCATATTTACATAATTAATTTCATTCACATTCTAATAAAATAATATATTTTCAAACCAAATTCTCAAAAATAAACACCAACGTTTGAAATATTTAGGACATTTCTATACAGTAAAATACAAATAGTATATCTAAAGATGAATTTAAAGCGCATAAGACAAAATGGAATATCCTCTGCAACAAAAGAATTATCGAGTAAATCAAAAATAAAATAATGGGGAAAAACCAAACTTATAAAGAAAATTAATTTGATGTATGAATCACTATTCAAAAAGGCGAAATGGGAGAGCGTGCGCGCGCGCCCGCGCGTGTGTGTGTGTGTGCGTGTAAGTGTGTGTGTGTGTTACATTACATTTTAAAAAAAGAATTGAAAAAATATTGAAATGAAATAATTATGTTATGATGAATACCTGTAACAACACTATACAAAAGTAACATAATAAATTAGAAAAAGGAAATTACAACAAGAGGGCCATGATGGCCCTGAGTCGCTCACCAGAAACAACTGCCTTTCAGTGTTGGAAATTATTTTTCAAAAGAAGTTGCTGAAAGGCAAGTCCAGCTCTTTCGGCAAGTTCAACTCAACTTTAACTTGCCCTTCTAGTAATATACTTTCACAACACTGATTGTTTTAGCTTTTTTTTCTTCATAATAAACAATAGGGCCACAAAGATGGCCCTAGATCACTGATCTAACCCATCATTTCATTATTCACAATATAAATTGAAATATTTTGCCCTAATATTTTGGAAAGGCTTTGTTAAAAATATGTATGTTGAAAGTGTGTTCCTATGAGACTTTGTAAAATAAATGCAGAATAAATTACCACTAGAGCAGGATTAATTTTGACTGGACAATTTTTTTATAACTTTTTTGAATGAAAAGACAAAATGTCACATGCAAAACATGTAAGGTGTAGATGTTTGAAGTTTACAGTTTGGGACAACAATTTTTTTATAAATTCTGTATGATAACATAACTGTACCTCCAAAAAAGACAATAGGTCAAACATTGTAAGAAATATGAAAAGTAGGCCAGTTGATATCAAAATTCAATTCAGCATCAGAAATTACACCCCTAGTCCAAATTTCAAGTCTGTATGTCATAAAACACAAGAATGAAGGTCAAATTATATCAAAAATATCAAAAGTAGGTCAGTTGATATCAAAATTCATTTCGGCATCAGAATTTACAAACCTGGTCCAAATTTCAAATCTGAATATCAAAATATAAGAAAGTACGTCAAATGATGTCAATAATACCTAAAGTAGGTCAGCTGGTATCAAAATTGAGTTCAACATCAAGATTACACAAATTACACCCCTGGTCCAAATTTCAAGTCTGTACATAAAAGACAAAGAAAGTAGGTAAAGCAATATCAAATATACCAAAAGTAGGCCAGTTCATTAAACCCCTTCAGTAGTCAATTGTTATCTTTATTCGTTTCGCATCAGAAATAACATCAAGTCGCTGTACATCAAAACCAAGAAAGTATGTACAATGGTTTCAAAAATATCAAAAACAGCTCCACTGATACCAAAATTTAAATATGCACATGAAACTCAGGTTCAACAGTCTGTCCCAAAATTTATTGAAATGTGCTTTTTCCAAGTTTAAATCCAATTCAACAAAAAATTACAATTTTTAACAAAATTCAATAAAAAATGAGCATACAAACTCATCTTTGTTAACAAAGTACTGGAGAAACAAATTTAATGTTTCTTTAGGCCTATTTTTTTCCTGGTTAATGACCTACAACTGACCTTACAATGATGCAATATGATGTCCGAATTCTAGAGCTGTGAGATATTTACACATCATAAACAGGTCATGACATTAAGACTTTTCTCCAAGTTTGGAAAAATTGAATAACATATGTACACATTCCAACATGAGTTGTTTCCCTTTCATTATGAAAAGATATCCTTTACCCATTTTTGAGTCATAGAAATTTATTGAAATTAATGAAATTCTTACTGAAAATGTCTAATTTGGATAAAAGAATGAATAAACTATGTATTCCTATTATAGGCCAAGTAAAGTTGGTCTTTTCTATAAAAAAAAATAAAAAACAGTTTTTAATGACACTATCATTATATTGATACTGTGACAACCTATAGTGTGAAGAGTTTAAAACATAACATAACTACTTTGTGTGAAGTCAAAACACGATTATTTTATAATCCATTGTCAATATTTTCTAATATTAAATTTGAGCATAGAATATCTTTAAACTATAATTTGAAGAAATGCCATGACCTGGGGCATTTAAGCTTTATCTTAAACAGGGTCAATCAAATTAATATGAGCAGACTTGATAAAAGACTACATAAGAATGCTACAGACAAAGATTGGTGAGCATCCATCAAATATTTCAGTAGGAGATGATGTTCAAAGGTTTTCTATATTTAGCTTAAGCGGCCCCTATAAGGGGCCAATCAAATTAATATGAACAAACTTGATAAAAGACTACGTAAGAATGCTACAGATAAAATTTGGTGATCATCAATCCATTACTTCTGTACAAGGAGACGTTTAAAGGTATTTCTATTTTTAGCTTTAGCTGCCCCTAAAAGGGGCCAATCAAATAAATATGAGCAAACTTGATAAAAGACTACCTAAGAATGCTACAGACAAAGTTTGGTGATTTCAGTAGGAAATGATGTTCAAAGATTTTTCTATTTTTAGCTTTGGAGGCCCCTAAAAGGGGCCAATCAAATTAATATGAGCAAACTTGATAAAAGACTACCGAAGAATGCTACAGACAAAGTTTGGTGATCATCCATCAATTAGTTCTGTAGAAGGAGATGTTTAAAGGTATTTCTATTTTCAGCTTTAGCGGCCCCTAAAAGGGGCCAATCAAATTAATATGAGCAAACTTGATAAAAGACTACCTTAGAATGCTACAGACAAAGTTTGGTGATCATCCATCAATTAGTTCTATAGAAGCACACATTTAAAGGTATTTCTATTTTGTGCTAAAGCAGCCTCTTAAAGGGGCCAATCAAATTAATATGAGCAAACTCGATAAAAGACTACCCAACAATGCCACAGACAAAGTTTGGTGATCATCCATCTATTAGTACTGTAGAAGAAGATGTCTGAAGGTTTTTCTATTTTTAGCCCTAGAGGCCCCTAAAAGGGGAAAATCAAAATAATATTAGCAAACTTGATACAAGACTACATGAGAATGATACAGACAAAGTTTGGTGATCATCCATCAATTAGTTCTGTAGAAATAGACATTTAAAGGTTTTTCTATTTTTAGCTTTAGCGGCCCCTAAAAGGGGCCAATCAAATTCATATGAGCACACTTGATAAAAGACTACCCAAGAATGCTACAGACAAAGTTTAGTGATCATCCATCCATTAGTTCTATAAAAGAAGATGTTTAAAGGATTTCTATTCTTAGCCCTAGAGACCCCTAGAAGGGGCCAATCAAATTAATATGAGCAAACTTGATAAAAGACTACCCAAGAATGCTACAGACAAAGTTTGGCTATCATCCATCAATTATTTCTGTAGAAGAAGATGTTTAAAGGTTTGCTATTTTTAGCTCTGCTGACCCCTTAAAGGGGCCAATTGGAATGACATGAGCAAATTCAAGTGTGACTGTCACAAGGATGCTACAGACCAAATTTGAAGTAAATCTGCTTAGTAGTTTCAGAGAAGTAGACGATTGTTGACGCATGACGACGGACGACGGACGCCGGAGCATCCCCCTTTGATACTAATAGCTCACCCTGAGCCTTCGGCTCTGGTGAGCTAAAAATGCAGCTTTACATAAAGAGAATGCTCAAATTTGATATTTGAAATGTAAAAAAATCATCTTTTGAATACACATAATTATACAAATATGTTACGTTTAAAACTCTAAACACTTTAAGTAAACACATAGTGTCATTAAATAAGAATTATAAGAATAGACCAAATTAATTTGGCAAGTTATGATGAAAGCCGCCTCCTAAACATAGTTGATATATTCACTTATTCAAATCAGACATATTCAGGAAGAATTTATGAGATTTTAAAAAAATCTTCAATAAAAATATTTTAGCCAAAGATGACCATAGAATATCTTTAAATAACTTTTAATTTATCAGTATTGTCATCGGCGAAGTTGTATGTTGTCTCTTCGGCAAAGAGATCCCATTTTACAGTAAAAGTTCTGTCTGAAACTATTGTTACAGTTCCTGGATATTGATCAAACTGAAAATAAAATAAAAAAGCTATAGGTAAATCAAAGTTATAACAGTGCCATTTACGTTGTATACTGTAAGCAAAAAACAACAGAAACACACAATTGCAATATTGTTCTTTCACATAACTACGTACTCCCGATATAAGGCGTAACACTTTACGAGTGACCACAAATTTAAATTGATTTAAACTTAAGTTCTATGTAGATTTACATTTCAAAGTATTATTTTTCTAGAATTTTAATAAACTTATTAAATTATTACTTAACAAGCTTCTTTCATAACCTGTTTTTATTCGCATATGTATTTTAAAACTTAAATATTTACAAATGATTTCCCAGGACGACGAACACGAGTACCAACACAAAACTTCTGTTTTCTTGTTTCTGTAACGTAATAAATACACCAGTACATTAGTTAAAGTAAAAGCAATGACATTGAATCGACACTTGCGCAGGCGCCGAAAACATGTATTACTAGCATATAGGATTATCGATCGTAGAAAAACTATATAATGATATATCTGTATCAATAAAATAAGACAAAGTTTTGTTAAAACATCATTAATAAATTCCTAATGCAGTTATACGACAGATACACAATGCCCGCTTGAAACTTTGTAAATCTTTTAAGACTTATAAAGGCAATCTTAAATTTAAAAAAGGACATAAAATAAAGAAACCTGTCGCTTCAACGCAAGCAACATTACTTACATGTACTTAAGTTCTTAAAACAGACTTATTTTAATCAAATTGATTCACTGATCTATTTTTTTCAAAATTAATTTCTCAAATTTTAAACATACAGTAGAATGAAAACAACACAATAGAATAAAATCAAACATTGTATAATCTTAGATTATGATTACAGAAACATTTTAAGCGAAAACATTCTGGGGTCACCGACCGAAAAGGATTTTCATGTTATTTTATGTTCAAATATCTTATAATACATTATTCTTAAAATCATATTTTACCACCGTTTTTTGTGTTTTCTTCTTTTTTTTCTTCTTTTTTTTTCTTCTTTTTTTTTGCTTGGTTATAAAACAAAAGTTTATGGAATTCCATTACGTACATCTGCTCCATTCAGTGTTAGTTCGGAGACTAAAAAGTCTCTAAAACAGCCATATTTAAAGGAATTGCCAGAAGCAATGATATACATATAATTCATTTTTGTTTTAATCTATATAATTACTCGATAAGAAGTCAGCTACAAAAAATTTAGGAAAATAGAAGCTAGTGCTACTATTAATCATTAATTAATATTATCTGCCCTCGAAAAAAAGCATATTTTTCAAATTATAGGACAGAAAACTCATTTATTTTGTAATGATATATTTAGATCAGCCAATTTGTTTTGCCTTATAAACCTTTGAGTGATATTATTTTGCTATATGTCTATATGAAACCCTAGCCTTTGACGTTGATATTGATGTGAACTTTTACTAAATTCTGTATTTTAGATTATAAAGACAGTTGCTACAGTTATCATACATGTATAGTCAGATAGACAGCATATTCGTAGCATAAACCTAAAATACAATAACAGAAACAATTTAAACAAAAGATGAGCATTGACGTTCTCGTTTTAATGTGTGTGCTCTTCAATGTCAATTAGGTCATTTTCAAGGCTCTACTAAGGAAATCAGTAGAAAAAAATCAGAACTTGCTTATCATGATTCTGAATTATCTGCCGTAAATAATCAAATTAAAGGGCAGATAATTTAAAGTCACATTATGCCTAAGAAAAAGAATAGATTTCTGCCTTTTTACAAAAAGCAAACACGTTTTTTTGTTTAAGTTCAATTAATGATTAAAAGCATGTTAAAGACTCATTGTTCTGAAGAACTAGGCCCTGAATGTGAAAGTATTCATCACAAAAGTAGGCAAATGTAAACAAAGTAGTATTTTGGCTTCTATACAAAATACTAAGTCACTGTAACTGTGCTATTGCGAAAAAAGGAACAGAACCAAAACATAGTTCAGATAATAAGGAAGTGGGTAACTTTAAAAAAAAATATAACAGGTAAACCTAAAATAATATAAGTTAAGGGGAATAAAAGTAAAGGTAATCCTGGTCCATAATGGGCCTTTAAAAACGAGTACACCAACCACCATATTTTGCTTCGAATATTTCTGTTTACATATCCTTAGATTCTATGAAAGACTTCCATTGTATGCAAACTGTATCAACTGTCTTTATCTGTTTATGAATGTCATCCCTTAACTAAGAATGCTTACCTTTTGTTCTACATTCAATCTGACAAAACTGCAGTCTTCCTACAGGCTGTTCGGATTTCAGAAGCGCCGACATTTGATCATTACGAACAAATTTAAACCCTTTCAACGCCATGTCTTTTGTTGATGGTTCGTACATATTTTTTATATCAGCTAGTTTAGACTTGCAATTAACTGCATTGATGAATAATGCATTATCACGAAACAGCTGTGTGTCAAGCATCTGTTTCACTTTCTTAAGTTCTGACGTAAACGACTGTAATACTGCCTCAATCTTTGCCTTCGTTTCTGTGTTTTCCTTTCTCAGTTTCTTCATTTCTGATAACAGCTTAGCCTCTGCTTCATCCAAACATTTATTTATCTCAGTTCTGAATTCACGGAGTCCTTTCAATGCCTTGTCATTCATGTTTTCGCATTCGTATTTACCCTTATCAATTTCGTGTTCACAATCTGTTTTCTGCTTTTCAAGATCTTCAAGTCTTTTCGCAATGCTTTTGTATGTGTCTCCATCTTTGAAGGATTTCGCCAAATCATTGATATATTCTGGTTTACATGATGCATGTCCTAGTACTATACAATCTCCACACCCAACGATATCATGTGATCGGCAATAAAATTTGATGAGTTCATTGTCGTGCTTTTCACATCTGGTAACATCTTCTAGTCCACTACATAATGAAAGTGACGAAAACTCGTCAAGCGAAAGAAACACGTGATTTCTACATAGTTTGCCTTTAAGGTGATGTTGAAAGCATGTGGTACACATTTCCTCGTTGCATTCCCGGCATGCTCCACATGCTGGCGTTTCCACATTTTCAACTTCACATGATACACATAAACTAGACTCTCCTTCAGCAGACTGTGTGTCAGTGTCCAACCTTTTGCCAGCTACTTCCATTTTAAGAAATCGATTTGATCAATATGCTAATATTCTGTAATGTAAATATGAAACGTAAATATAAATTTATACCATTTCAAAGGACCAATCTGTTAACATTATCATAAATATTATGTGTTTGCAATTTATTTTTTCAGTGATTTAAAGGCGACCTTAAACGAGTCGTCAACGTCGTCGCCTTTAAAACACTTGCATTTTTACCGCTGTGGGTTCGAATCCCGTCTGGGACTCAGGATTTTTGTCATGTGAGGACGCTAGTCAGCTAGCATACGGAAGGCCGGTGGTTTTAATAGTGTACACAAATGGGCACATGAAGTATTTCTACACCACTAAATATTGAAAGTCGCCATATAACTTTAACGGTGTCAATTTGACATGAAAGCCAAGCTAAAAAAGCTTATTTTCCATGTTTCAGTGACTGATAAATGGTAGGTTTTGTATCTGCAATACAAAAGGCATCTCAGTTCTGTATACTTGCATACGGTTTCTATCAAGTTAAATGCAGATTGCAGAAAACAAAGATTTAATACTACAATCTAGCCCTAACAATATTTTTTTTATTTTCCTACGCCTACGCTTTTTAGCAAAAATAGTTTGAATAGAAGAAGTAATATGATAGATCATTTATGTAACAGATACGACTTAAATGCATAAACACAGTCACGGGCGAGGAACTGTTACACGAAGGATGGAGTTCTTATGATAACTTGTCAATGAGTTCTTGTGATAACTGTCACGTAGTTCGTCGGAAAACTATTCTTTATACTGCGAAAACACACTTTTTAAAGATGAAAATAACCATTTTTTGACGAGTGTTTTTGCAGTATATACGATAGTTTTCCGACCAACTCCGTGAGGAACTCCATCCCTCGTGTAACACTTCCTCCCCCGTCACAGTATAGGCTCATACTTGAGTAAAATATTGTAATTTCACAAATTTATTTAAATATATCAAATTCTTATAAATATGTCTAGTTTGAATACGATAATTAATAAACTATGTATGGGAAGCTGCGTTTCATATTTTACATGTCAAGTAAAGTTGGTATTTTCTTAAAGAAACTGCCAATTATTTTAAATGAAACTATATATTGCTATGAACATGGTAAATGTGTATTGTGTCTTACAAAATCATGGGGCGCTTTCTTCTTAAGGCAATTGTTTACCTTCTCGTCAAGCGCCTCATGATCAAGATCTTGTCCAAGCTTTATCGATCTTGTCAAGACTTATACTTATTGACAACTGTATTTTTGTTGTCTGTAAATCATATTAAATTTTGGCTCATTTTGAGACCGATTTTAGCTTTTAACACTCTGTATTGATCGAGATATGCAAGTTGCAAGCAGGCCACATCGTACACCTGGATTGTAGTCTGTAAACCCCGCCCTTTTCCGCCTCTGAATATTAAAAGTCTGTGTAAGGACTTGTCTAAATCTTTTGCTTACATTAGTATGACATGGTTTAGTGTCTAACTTAGACAGAATTTCACTAAGTTATCAAAATAGCGGAAAACGAGTGTTATACCAGGTCGTAATAATATGCAAATATTTAACGATTGCAAATAAAAATGTCCATGGTGTATACAAGAGCGGGTGAAGAAGGGGAGCACACATAGCCCTAAGTGTCTGGTAGCGGGTGACGTCACAAGTAATGGGTCTCGCGCCCATATGCTATTTAACCATAAGAAATGTACTCCAAGGAGGGTTTGTACTTATATAGAATTATAAACATTTAGCCTGTCACTGATCTGGTATCCTTATACAATTTTATATAACTCAAAAGTTTGTATAATAAACTTAACTTAAACCCATTTTTAGAACTTGACCCAATCTGGAACTTGACCGGATTCTGACTTGACCCAGTCTGGTAAATCTATGGCTAACTCTATACTTGGAACTCGGATATTTTACCATAGTACTAGGTCTACATGTAGTCTATATGTTTCTCTTATAAGCTCAGTTGTGTCAATAATTCATGAACCAATAATTCAATCATAGATTGAACTGTAATATGTCTTATTTACCTCTCAGTAGGTAGAACCAAATCTAATTTCCCCTAGTTAATGCCTGGCATATTTAAATCCTGACTAGCCTTAAGCTAACACCTTTTTCATACTTTTAAGGGGGCGTAACAATATTCATATTGTGAGTAGAATTTCTTCAAGACATGTTTATTTATATTTACAAAGAGACAGTGTAGCAATTATCAGTATTTTCTAATATCAAATTAAGCATAGTGTATCTTTAATATCGAAAACACGTCCGAGTGTTTACGACAAATATGTGCATATCAGATACTACCCAAATCCGGTTAACAAGATTTATTTATTTTTATTTGTTTGGGTCGTCAGACCAAACAAATAATGGTAGCGAAATTTCAGAGTCTAATGTTGTTAATTGCAAATGCCGAAAGTAGTCCACACTTTTGGAGCGGTTACTTCCCTTTTGTATGTACACTAAAGCCGAAAAATTCAGGGGAGATCACTGCGTAAAGATGGTCAAAGACAGGCGCATCAATTTTCAAGCAAAGTAATTCCCGAATGGTCGAAGATTTCTAATATTGTTTTATTGTATTTTCTGATCGAAAATAACTCAATACAAAGCGGACATTCAATCTCTGACACAGAAGTTTACTACAAACCTAACAACAGGTAGTTCTCAAAACAGCTTAAAACTAGCGATTTAAAAGAAAGAAATATTTTATTTTGTTACAAGTATCCAACAAATTACAACGCATTTAAAGTTAAACAATAGCGTTGGCTTATAGAATTGTCAATAAATGCACAATCACAAATTACGCGGATGAATATGATTTTATCAATGAAAATACTATTTTTAGCCATGTCAATTACCGAATACTACACAAACCGAGTAGTGGAATATATAGATTCTACATGCCGGACTGTTTGGGCGAGAGGATTTTCGCTAAAATATTTACTTCAATTTTAAACAACAGGTTTACCCTGAACAAAATACCACGAAATTAATAAGGATTACAAACCCGAACTGCAATGGAAGTTCTAAATTTAGAATGACTTGATATTATTCAGGCGTAATGTGTATAACTTCTCCGTGGCACAGTCGTAACGCGCTCGCTTCGTGAGTGAGAGGTCTCGAGTTCGAATCCCAGTCGAGGAAACTTTTTTTTTTTTGTTTAATTCTTTTTTTTAAGTGTTTTTGTTAAGGAAGTAGCCATGATATACAAGGATAAAGTGTGGCTGTCGTAAAAAAAAAACATAAATGATTTTTTGATGCAACTCTAGTTATGCAGAATTCCGTATGTATCAAACTCTGGTGCCTTACAAAAGGAATTATAATACATAAAAATAAACTTATACAGGAAAATGCATACAGATATACAGTACGATTTAGATTGCAAAGATCAGAAAATACCAAAGAACTTGCAGCCCTTTGATTCTTTATAAATATACATGCTTATAGTAAGCTCCAGGATTATTTACATCTATGTTAAACAACAGTTAAAGTCGTTACAAGCCCTAATTTAGAATAATATGGTTTTCTTCAGGCCGTTCACATATAAATTCACCGTGGCTGAAGGGTTTTCGGGCTCGCTTAGGAAGCGAGAGGTCTGGAGTTCAAATCCCAGTAAAGGTAACTCATTTTTTTAAATTGTTAAAGTCAAATAAACATTGGATTGAATATCAGTGTTGCAATTAGTCTTATAGCCAATTTACTACAATCAAAACGCTGGAAAGCATTGGTGGCACTAAACATATAATCTCACAACCTGCACCTTCCTTACATTCTGAGACCCAAACAAATTCAGCGCCTTCTGTGCTTTGATTTCTTTTGTTGGCGGGGGGAGGGGGAATTAACGCTTAATTTTAACGCTTTTATTGCGTTTATGAAGTACTTTTAATCTAAACTTAACGATAAAGGATCGGTGAGATTTTCTATTACCTTGTGTTTCAAAAATGATCGATACATGGTCTTTATTATGCCAATTAAACTATTTTTGATTGAACATAATTTATTTTTTATCTCTTGTGTGAATGTCTATACCCGGGACTAGACCGCGGGGTGTAAATCAAAAGTATATTTAAAGTAAATCTCATTTTTGTTAGCGTATACAAATTGTACTCCTGCAATATAAAGAGGGGTTTACACACCTTTATCCGCACAACTTTCGGTTTTGCTTGTCACCGGATATAATAAACCGTTATGCGAAAATGTGAATATGAAAGAAAAGAGTAACCTTTAAAACGAAAAAATAAATCATTCAAAAATGAAAAAGTTAAAGTCAACTTCAAACTTAATCATAAATATGTATACTTTTTGCAACTGTGTTTTAACAACATAAATTGGCGAAGTAATTAAACAGTAAGTAAATACATGCATGTTGTTAAACATAACGTTAGCTTAATTCTTTGTTACATAAATGTAACGTTACAATGTTGGTATGTCTGACAATTTTGTTTTAATTTAAAGTGTTGAATGATGGCGATTTAATATTATAGGTAAACGCACTAAATATGCAAATGTATAACTTTCTATTAAACAGAACTGAAAACTTATTTGAAGCAATAGATAGTGCATATTGCTTTTAGAATATGATATTGGATACTTACGTATATTTACATAAAACTGTTGTTAGACCATGGTCTCGTAACATCTTACAGTACAGGTACTTTATAAAATTAGGCAATGAATATGTATAAATTAAAACAATAAATTAACTTATTTTTTATTTTTTTTTTTTTTTTTTTTTTTTTTTTTTTTTTTTGGGGGGGGGGGATTTCTTCTGGTTGATGTTGTTCCTTTTACATTAAAATACTAGTAATAATTGATGTGCAGTACATGTACCTGTTCTTTAAATAAAGAAATATAATGATGTTGTTATACAGTGCTAACAACAGACATCACTTTCCATGTACTTTTCATTCCATGTTGCATGGAACATAATGATCGCTAGTATGTTTCGCAAAATTAATTTCATCTTTAATGGGCATGCATTTTATTAGAGCAATGCATGTAGCTATCAGAAAACTGTTTTTACAGTTCTGTATTTGGTCATTATCGCCATACTTTGACATTACTAAGCATTGATAATATTTCTCCAGAAATAGAGAGATTTCAAAAATTAATTCAGTTTGTGTTGTGGAATTTGTCCCAAAACACAAGTTAATGGCTGATTAATTTAAAATTTGTTTATATATAAAACAGACATAAAGAAAGAGAAACAATTAGACAGTGTTTAGACAGAATATTTAATGAATCATACTAATATTACATACACGCGTCTGTAGATTTTGTGTTGTATTTGTAGTGATTGACTGTAGTATAGGCTACAATACTCCTACAAGAATGTCTGGTACATCTTCGTTCACGTTGGACCACTGATTATCAAGTAATTTATCATCTCTGAATAACAAGAATTAATTTTAGCACAAATAACTTATCACAGTTTATTAAATGAATTCTATTGAAGATGTTCATTTAGAAATGTAAACAAAATACGAGGCTGTAAGTATGTATTTAACCAGCAATTATCAGGATATTTAAAAAAAAACGAACTGATAACACCAGTGTATGTATTATCACAGTTTTGAACGGAGTGCATTAATCTTACTGTCAGTCAATCTATACAAAATCAGCAATAACCCGTTACCTTTTTATACTGTTTACGTATAAGTGAACCCACGTAGCTTACGCATGAGGAAAATGTATTATAATAATGTCAACAAATTCTATATATGTTTCGGTAATAGTTTTACAAGACATTAAAACACTTAACATCACACAAATGGCTTTTAGATTTGCAAATTTTGACGACTATCTTCCTGTCTATCAACAATATAATCTTTGTCTAGGAAGATATATATTTTTAGTAAATCTCTAGAGCATGATTAATGTGACTGGATTGACTTCAATGGAATATAATCAATGAGAAAATGTCAAATCATTTTCATCTTAACACCATGGCATTATCGGAATATATGAGTTTAACACTAGATGTAATTGGTATTTGACATGAACACTGTTTTATCATTATTAATCACAAATTTATACAATAACGTACTCCTCAACTTAGATTTTCCAGAAATGTGTCACACATGAAAAGCACATATGTGAAACAGCTGTATTTGTTTCCGGCTCAGTGTTTCAAAAAAAATCCAATTTGACAGTAAGGACATACTCAGAGCTTTATCATTGCATTTCGTACTTAGTCCTTTTAATCAGAATCATCATTCAACGAATTTCTGATCTTCTTTTTTATTGTAAGCTATGGGCTTGTTCATAATATCTTCAGTAGTAAAAGCAAGTATTTTCCTCTCTGTTTTGCTGGTCCTTCGGGTCATTTATTCCAAATAATTAGCGTTATACATAGACATATGTTAATTCAAGTTTACAAAACAAAACTGTACAAGTTCTATTTTCAATTAAGTAATTTGAATGAAGTGAGGTAATTAAAATCAGCTGTAGAATTGCTGTTGATCAAAACAATGTTAATCGAAGGTGCTATAAAACATATTGTCAGAGTTCAATTGCACAGTGCTTTAACTGGGATGCAGGTACTAGTTACCAGCATTTACTGTCTGTTCAGAGCATACTCTTTAATTGGCTCATTTTTTCTGTGATTTACTTATCACTGGGATCGAACCCCATATGAATCTCAAAATGAGCATCGGATAAAATTATATGTGAATTTTGCTGATCCAGATGTGCGCTGTAACTCGATATGTGAAGGAGAAAATAGGTCAACCACAGGTTTTCAACTTTTTAAACAATTATATAAAATTCAAAGTTTTTTAAGAAAGTCGAAATGTGATTTTACTCGTGGGTTCTGGTTTGCCCGAAACAGGCATATTCGTACGGCGTAAGCTACCAACACATACGTCGTAAGCTACGTATACATACGGCATAAGCTACCTATACATACGTCGAAAGCTACGTATACATACGTCGTAAGCTACCTCTATATAAGTCGTAAGCTACGTTTATTACATGCTTTTCTGTGGTTTATAGAAATATATCAGTGATATAAAACTGGTAATTTCACTGTTTTAAACAGTGAAATTACCACTTTGATAATTTCACTGTTTTGAATTTAAGCCCCTTATGTTGTTTCAGTGAAATACCAGCGTGCACAATACTGGGTACCAACTTAATGACGTGACGTCGTAATTGACGTCACGTTGTATTATTATTTGGCGCGCTTTTCATTCAGTATTAGGTTTAATGTCTTTTTTAACGTTTCTTTGTATGTAATAAAAAGAAAATTTGTTTAGTTTAGTGTAAGATTGAAATATATTTCACCTTGGGAACACCAAAAGTTCATATTTCACTCGTGGCTGCGCCACTCGTGAAATATACCTTTTGGTGCTCACTCGGTGAAATATATTCCGATCTTACACTGAACTAAACAAATATCCTCTCTATACATACGGCGTAAGCTACCTATACATACGTCGTAAGCTACGTATACATACGTCGTAAGCTACCTATGCATACGTCGTAAGCTACGTATACATACGTCGTAAGCTACGTATACATACGCCGTAATCTACGTATACATACGTCGTAAGCTACGTATACATACGTCGTAAGCTACGTATACATACGTCGTAAGCTACGTATACATGCGCCGTAAGCTACGTATACGTGAGTCGAAAGCTACCAATACATACCTCTGCTCTTGCATGATTTGAAGTAATAAGATTTTGTTTCCGTTGCTTTCGGGATATAATGAAACATTCTTGTTATTGCGATGATTATTACAAGGAGAAAACAATATAAGAGAAGAGATATTTCGATTCAGGAAAGTGCAGGAGGTGGGGGTTTAAGGCGTTCTTTTAAATAAAATTGATTTCTTAATAATAAAAGTGCATTAGCAGAAAACGTGCTTCACTGCATTAAAGGCATAATTTGCTTTGCTATACTAATACTTGTATTTCGTGATGAAAATAATTATAAAGTGTTGTGGAATAAGGAAATCTTTATGTGTTTTATCAAAACAATTTCTTTGGTTGTTCTAACGCCAATAACATATTTTAAGCAATGTGCAATGTTATGTTAAAAAAAACCTAATAACAAAGATTATATATTTATCATCAGATTGTATATTATATTTGCATCAATCCGATAAAAATCACCTCCTAATTAACGCTACATGCAATATTTATAATCTAATTAAGTAGATTTGAACTTGGTCAGATTAAAATTATATTAGCAGTGAAAAAATGAGTAGCTTAATATGTATATGTCAATAGCAAATGGAATGTATGAAAGGTAAATGGCTCTCAGGCGACTGTATATGAAAAGTTGTATTTTAGTACACAGTACACTTTACTGGATGATGATTACTTGTAGTGTCCTTATGGTGTCATTGGTGCTTAGTAAACACAATTAACTGAAGTACCTATATAGTGATAATAGTGTTATACATGTACTGATAGCTAGAGGGTTTGGCACTGAAATGCTTTGTTTTGTTTTTCCTATGTGCATTTTAAGAAATGTAGAATTAAATAAATTGAAAATCATTCAAACAAATTAATTCAATTATAATGGAATACACGACACTTCGTCATTCTTCGCTGAAATTTATTCCTACTGGTAAGTTCATAACAGTGAGCAGTTAAAAACATCGCTCGGAAACACCTTTCATCTCAAATCTATATTATCCTAAGTTCAAAATCACTTCAAAAGGTAAATTCAATTACTTTTTCTCCCTGGAGAAAAACTTTGTAATTGCTCTGTCATAAAATGCATTTTCTTGTCTTTTATCTTACAATTTCTACACAAGTGAATGTCTGCTGAGACAAATTATTATGTTCTCAAGTTTTTGAAGACCAAATTTCTCTTATATTGCAAAGCGATAGCATTTTTCAGTTATTTCTATCTTAAAAATATTTGGAATTGAATTTAAATTCAATATACATGAAGTATACAGCAGAATAGTCTTAACGTTCGGAATATATCTCCATTCATTTCATTATTATGTTTACATTTAAGTCGTCCACTAAGCTCAATATAGAGGGATCGCCAGTTTGATCCTTTGGCAAGACAAAATTTCCCATTGACCATTCTCCTTGACCATTCATCTCGGACATGGAGTCAAAGAGTCATTTCTCTCACTGCTGATTCAGAAATTATGTAGCATTAGTGGTCGATCACCATGGAAGACATTGGTAACTTTTTGATAGTTTGTTAGGTAGACAAGACCACCCGACGAAGATGACCAAAAATATATTAAAATCGGCGTAGAAAACCAGACAAGATTTGTATATTTCTAATGTTAATGCGGTAGAAAATAATTATTCATTTGCATGTAAGATTTCTTTCTTGAATATGCCATAGTGGAAGCCTAGTCTCTTTGAAACATTGTGAAAAGGAGGTTACTTTGATTTATTTCTGTTCACTATTTACAGTAGTTCTCTCCCTTGACATTACGGTGCATAATGCAGACATGTACTTGAATAGATATCGCAAATAGTCATCGGTGTTCATTGTACCTTAATGTATTTTTACCGTCACACTGTTATAAAATGTCACTTATCAAGCTTATCACGGGGGAGGAACTGTTACACGGAGGAGGGAGTTCTTCTGATAACGTGTCATGATTGCTTCTGATAACTGCCACGGACTTCTTGGAAAACGTTACGGATTTCGTCGGAATACATTTGTCTATATCGATGAAACACTCGTCAAAAATGGTATTTTGTAATCTTTAAAAATCGAGTTAATAAGGTGCTAAATAAAAACATGATGATTAAGCTTGCCTTTTTTAATCTACATACATGTATTGCATTATGTGTCAGGAAAAATTGTGTAGTCTATTTTCCATCGCCTCTTGTTTAAAATCTGGTGGTTTTGAGTAAATTGTCAAATTATTAGCTTATCCGTACATACTGACCTTTTCTTTTTGTAATTTCCTTCTTTGCTATTCTGAATTAGTAGGTAATTCATACAATGTATGCCTATGCAAGTTTAGATATGATAGGTATTGTATGTAGGTAGATTTTGTATTGTCTGAAATTGATTTTTTGGACATGGACATATTATTTTAATCTGAATTTTATGGATAACAACAAAAGAAACTTTATACTTAAACGACTTATCAATTTTTTAAACAAAGTTGTAATTTTCAAATTAGAATTCAGTTTGTATGCTTACAATGAAAAACCATGAGAAAATTATATACATGTAATTGTCACTGACAAACTCTGATTCAATGTTAGTTAATAACATCGTTTTCTATAGTAGCATTGACTTTTGATGGTAGACTTTTGCGTACTCCATTTGAACAATCGGGCATTAAAAATGTTAGCCCTGCAACTTTGAATAATTACAAAATCTACCTACATACAGGACCTATCCTATCTAAACTTGCATAGATTGCAGGATGGAAAACAAAGATAATCTGATAATTCTAAGTTTCGTCATATAATTACCATTTCAAAATTCTATACTTACCATGGAATGGTATTGTATTGTTTGCTAAAAAGCAGGACATTTGAATTTTTGTACTTGGAACATATTGCTGTTTCATGGACTTTCACATATACGAGGGTTATCCCAAAATATCGTAGACAAAGTATGTTACTCAATCATTTATAACACTATTTTATGTATAACCATGATGAAGTTCCATGATGCCATATCTAAAAACATCAACAGACATCAGGCAACCACCAAATAGAGGGCTCATGGACGATTTAACCATCACTACAGAAACCCATGTCCAGGCTAGATGGGTATTAAAGGCCTTGGAAGAGACAGTTACGTTGGCAAGGATGTCTTTCAAGCCAAAGAAGTCTAGAGCTCTAATAATAAGGAAAGGGAAGAGAGCACACCAAGTCAAACTGAAGGTGCAAGGAGAAGTCATTCCATCAATAATTGACAATCCCATCAAGTGCTTAGGAAAATGGTATGATGACTCTTTAAGTGACAAAAACAATATCAAGAGAATTGAACAACAGGTTTCAGAGGGAATGAGGAACATCGACAAGACAGGTTTACCAGGGAAATTAAAGGCATGGATATACCAACATGGACTCCTTCCAAGGATATCATGGCCACTTATGCTGTACGAAATTACATTGACAACAGTTGAGAAGCTTGAAAGAACCATCAACAGACATCTTAGGAAATGGGCAGGTGTCCCTCTAAGTTTTACAACTGTAGGACTGTACAGCAGAACCGCAAAGTTGCAGCTACCATTTACATCTCTAGTGGAAGAATTCAAAGTTAGTAAAAGCCGCCTTGTGATGACACTGAAAGAATCTAGAGATGATAAAGTAAGAACAGCAGGTGTCCAAGTAAGAACAGGACGAAAATGGTCAGCATCAAAAGCAGTTTCAGAGGCAGAGAGTAGATTGAGGCATAAAGATATCGTAGGAACAGTGGCAGTAGGACGACAGGGCCTTGGTACATCAAAAAGTTGCTACTGGAAGAACGCTAACACCCAAGAAAGACGAAGTCTTGTCCAAAGAGAGATAAAATCTAGAGAAGAAGAAAACAGACAAGCAAAGACAGTAGAATTAGGGAGCCAAAGCGCTTGGTCGAGATGGGAATTGGAACAACGATCCCTAACATGGTCAGATATATGGCGATATCCGCAATACCAACTGCAGTTCCTTCTGAGATCAGTGTATGATGTGTTACCGACACCTTCAAATCTGCACAGGTGGAAACTTTCAGAAACACCAGACTGTCCCTTGTGCGGAAACAGAGGAACTCTACAACATGATCTTTCAGGGTGCAATATCGCTCTTACACAGGGGAGATATACATGGCGACACAACCAAGTACTCCGATAACTCGCTGAAGTGATAGAGAAACAGAGGAAAGATGCAAAACACATTAGAAACAAACCTATGAAGATCCAGCTTGTGAAGGAGGGTGAAGTAGGCCAGGAAAATAAAAAGATCATATCAGGAATCCTAAATCAGGCAAGGGATTGGCAGTTAGAAGTTGATCTAGGAAAGAAGATGCAATTTCCTGATATTGTACCAACCAACCTAAGACCAGACATGGTACTTTGGTCTACAAGCAGTAAAAAGGTAATAATCATAGAGTTGACAGTTCCCTGGGAGGAGAGATGTGGCGAAGCAAATGAAAGAAAGAGGGCAAAATATGATGGACTGTTGGCAGAGTGCAGAGATATAGGATAGCAGACATGGAACTTTCCTGTTGAGGTTGGCTGCAGAGGCTTCCCTGCACAGTCAGTGTGGAGAATGTTTTCTGCAGTGGGAGTGACTGGCCAAAATAGAAGAGCAGCAATTAAGAAACTGGGCCAAGCAGCAGAGAAAGCATCTTGCTGGATATGGATGAAGAGAGACAGTAGTAGCTGGAAACCCACCACCAATGCGCAGTGATTGATCACCACTGTGGACCCCCCATGCTGAGAGTGTACCGAGCTAGGGGTCGAAACACATGATGACGGATGGCCTCGGCTGACGACATTGATGGTGTTTGCAGTTATTCCACCAGTACTGTATGTAAGTAACTTGTAATCTGGACCTACCAGTGACTGCTGGGAAAGACCGGCTGACAACCAAGAATAGAATGGTGACGTCTGGAGAGACAGATGGCATTCGGGGAAGACTGAAACCAGGGTGTGAAGGGTTGGCATCCCAACACACGGTTCCTGTGAAGGAACACCATACCAAGAACAGAATAAAGAACAATACCCCCAGGGTCTTCCGAGAGGGGGTGAGGATGAGAGACCCATTGAGCAGGATAAAACGGTAACAACTCGGCTAATCCAACGGACTTTGACTGGAACAACGGCAGAAACCAAGTGTCATTGTGGGAAAGTTTGCAAGAACTTAAAAGGTCTGAAGATACACCAGGCAAGAACTAAGTGTGGATCTGGGAAGCAACAAAGGGAACGCACAGTTAACACTGATGAGACGATGGAGGACCACAGCCAGGAAGCACACCACAGTGCTGAGGAACTCTTACCTAATGAAGCTACTCAGATCAACATTGAGGAGGAGCAATGGAATCAAAACCAGCAGAGAACATCGACACCTGCAACAGACAGCAGGAAAGAAAAGATACAATGGCCACCAACAGATGATAGGAGATGGGAGATCTTTGATGAAGACCTAGACAATATCTTGGATAACACACTTAATGGAGACGTACAGGGAAAGATATTGGCATTGTCAACTATTGTATATGCAGTAGGACAAGATCGATTTGGAGTTAGTAACACCAAAATCAGAGAAGGCACTCAGGGTAACATGAAACATAGCAGACGTCAACAAGAAATACAAACACTCAGAACCGAAATAAATGATGTCACAAAACAGTATAGAAGAGCAAATGAGGAGGAAAGAGAAGGATTGAATGAGTTAAGATCAATACTGAGGGAAAGAAGAAACAATCTACAAAGAGCAGAAAGAATCAGAAAAGCAAGGAGATAAAGAGGGAAGAAGAGAGCAATGTTTGTTGCCAACCCCTACAAGTTTACCAAATCAACACTGGACGGAACAAAGGCGGGATCAATAAAAGCACAAAAGAGGAAGTGGAAAAACATCTATCAGAGACACACAGCGACGAAAGGCAGTGGGAACATCTAGGCAACTGTGATAGGATAGAAAAAGTACCAGAACCAGAAATACCAATGAACACTAAGGAACCATCATGGAAAGAAGTGTCAGATGTAGTGAAGAAAGCCAGGTCTGCATCATCACCAGGACCAAACGGCATCCCGTACAAGGTATATAAGAAGTGCCCAAAAATTTTGAAACACCTGTGGAGGATACTGAAAGTAGTTTGGAGGAAAGGGAAGATACCATCATGTTGGCAGAAAGCAGAGGGGTGTTTTATTCCAAAAGAAGAAAAATCGGAGGACATCACACAATTTCGGACAATTTCCCTCCTCAATGTAGAAGGAAAGATCTTTTTCTCTATTATGGCTAGAAGGATGACATCATATATGACAGATAACAACTATGTAGACACTTCAGTACAGAAGGGCGGAATACCAGGATTCTCAGGATGTATTGAACATACGAGCATCATTTCACAACTTATTCAGGAGGCCAAAGTGAACAAGAAAGATCTTACAGTAGTATGGCTAGATTTGGCCAATGCTTATGGTACTGTTCCTCACATGCTGATACAGGAGTCATTAGATCATTACCATATTCCCGACCACTTTAAGAAAGTGATAAGAAGTTATCTCAGTGGGATTCAGCTGCGATTTACAACAAGCACATTTACAACAACATGGCAGAAACTACAAAAAGGAATAGTTACAGGATGTACCATCTCAGTTATCTTGTTTGTCATGGGAATGAATATGATTATTAAATCTGGAAAGAGAGACACTAGAGGCCCAAAAAACATCAACAGACATCAGGCAACCACCAAATAGAGGGTTCATGGACGATTTAACCATCACTACAGAAACCCATGTCCAGGCTAGATGGGTATTAAAGACCATGGAAGAGACAGTAACATGGGCAAGGATGTCTTTCAAGCCAAAGAAGTCTAGAGCTCTAATAATAAGGAAAGGGAAGAGAGCACACCAAGTCGAACTGAAGGTGCAAGGAGAAGTCATTCCATCAATAATTGACAATCCCATCAAGTGCTTAGGAAAATGGTATGATGACTCTTTAAGTGACAAAAACAATATCAAGAGAATTGAACAACAGGTTTCAGAGGGAATGACGAACATCGACAAGACAGGTTTACCAGGGAAATTAAAGGCATGGATATACCAACATGGACTCCTTCCAAGGATATCATGGCCACTTATGCTGTACGAAGTTACATTGACAACAGTTGAGAAGCTTGAAAGAACCATCAACAGACATCTTAGGAAATGGTTAGGTGTCCCTCTAAGTTTTACAACTGTAGGACTGTACAGCAGAACCGCAAAGTTGCAGCTACCATTTACATCTCTAGTGGAAGAATTCAAAGTTAGTAAAAGCCGCCTTGTGATGACACTGAAAGAATCTAGAGATGATAAAGTAAGAACAGCAGGTGTCCAAGTAAGAACAGGACGAAAATGGTCAGCATCAAAAGCAGTTTCAGAGGCAGAGAGTAGATTGAGGCATAAAGATATCGTAGGAACAGTGGCAGTAGGACGACAGGGCCTTGGTACATCAAAAAGTTGCTACTGGAAGAACGCTAACACCCAAGAAAGACGAAGTCTTGTCCAAAGAGAGATAAAATCTAGAGAAGAAGAAAACAGACAAGCAAAGACAGTAGAATTAGGGAGCCAAGGCGCTTGGTCGAGATGGGAAGTGGAACAACGATCCCTAACATGGTCAGATATATGGCGATATCCGCAATACCAACTGCAGTTCCTTCTGAGATCAGTGTATGATGTGTTACCGACACCTTCAAATCTGCACAGGTGGAAACTTTCAGAAACACCAGACTGTCCCTTGTGCGGAAACAGAGGAACTCTACAACATGTTCTTTCAGGGTGCAATATCGCTCTTACACAGGGGAGATATACATGGCGACACAACCAAGTACTCCGAGAACTCGCTGAAGTGATAGAGAAACAGAGGAAAGATGCAAAACACATTAGAAACAAACCTATGAAGATCCAGTTTGTGAAGGAGGGTGAAGTAGGCCAGGAAAATAAAAAGATCATATCAGGAATCCTAAATCAGGCAAGGGATTGGCAGTTAGAATTTGATCTAGGAAAGAAGATGCAATTTCCTGATAGTGTACCAACCAACCTAAGACCAGACATGGTACTTTGGTCTACAAGCAGTAAAAAGGTAATAATCATAGAGTTGACAGTTCCCTGGGAGGAGAGATGTGGCGAAGCAAATGAAAGAAAGAAGGCAAAATATGATGGACTGTTGGCAGAGTGCAGAGATATAGGATGGCAGACATGGAACTTTCCTGTTGAGGTTGGCTGCAGAGGCTTCCCTGCACAGTCAGTGTGGAGAATGTTTTCTGCAGTGGGAGTGACTGGCCAGAATAGAAGAGCAGCAATCAAGAAACTGGGCCAAGCAGCAGAGAAAGCATCTTGCTGGATATGGATGAAGAGAGACAGTAGTAGCTGGAAACCCACCACCAATGCGCAGTGATTGATCACCACTGTGGACCCCCCATCCTGAGAGTGTACCGAGCTAGGGGTCGAAACACATGATGACGGATGGCCTCGGCTGAGAGAATTGATGGTGTTTGCAGATATTCCACCAGTACTGTATGTAAGTAACTAGAAAAAGGTTTAAATCAGGTGATGACAGTGGAAGGACAGAAAATAGATAGAAAATGTTGCCAGTGAGAAATAGATTGTGTTTCTCTACCACAAGAGGATACAATTGGAAATTCTTTTCTTATATTTACCTATAAATGTTCTAAGTACATATTATTATTACGGAGCTGTTTGTATGTAAGTAGCTTCCAAAATAAAATTTAAAAAAAGCTTATCTTCATAACGTGGTGTTGTGTTAGGTATCGAACAAGATACCTTTATATCAGTAGCCCGGCATCTATACCAATACACAACAACACATTGACGTATGAGCTAATAAATATATCGATATAATCGTTAGATCTGATATCAGTGTTGATCCAGTGGCCTTTACGAATATTAATGAAGTGCCAGGTGAATATTGTTGGACAATACATTTTGCTTTGGTATTTTTTTAATGATGTGTTTTCGCATTATAGATTAAGAATAAAAAAACATACATGTATATACTTTGCTAACATTTGACTATTGTATGATTATGGAATGTGACTTATATTTGATACATTTTAATGATTATATTGTGTATGATGATGTACATTGTATAAGTCTAAAATTAAGTGTATGTTCTATTCTGTTTACCTGACTTTTATTAAGTCAAGAACTTTGTTTCATAATATGATAAACAAGATCAACAAGGAAAGACGGTGTTCAATGAACGCAACCCCACACGACCCAGCAACAATAGGCAGTGGCAAGAAGCCCAGGAGGACCCCAAACAACAAGAGCTGTCCGTAAGACAGCGCGCTCGACTTTTTTATTGCTTGCCAATAAAAAAAGTTTTTGCAGTAAAAGGCAATACAAGAATCTCTGTATTTTTAAAGTGAACAATGGCCATGAGCATTAAGATATTTAGTGAAGAATTATTTTACTGAATTGTGTGATACCCTTGAACACTGCAGCAAAGTTTGAAATGTTTAAGTCAAAAGAGGGCTGGTAAGAAAGAAAAAAAAACTGAGTTGAGCCTTAAATAAATTTAATTCTAAGTCGATAAAAGGCCTTAATTTTTAAAACAAATCCTTGACAGAGTTACCTTCTCTTGCGTACAGATGGGGGTAATGATGTGAAATAGCATTAAAAGTTTCAAAGCAATATCTCAAAGGGTTAAGGCAATAAGTGGATTTTACCCATATTCAATGTATTTTCTAAGTCAAAAAGGGGCATAATTCTGTCAAAAAACCTTGACAGAGTTATGTCCTCTTGTCTGTTGATGAAGGTCGTGATGGTAAACAAGTATGGTCAGTTTCAAAGCAATACCTCCAATGGTTTTGAAATAAAGTGGAGGTGGTACAAAAAACTTAACCAAGCTCAATACACTTTCTAAGTCAAAAAAGGGCCATAATTCTGTCAAAAACCTTGACAGAGTTATGTACTCTTGTCTGTAGATGGAGGTTATGATGGTGAACAAGTATGGTAAGTTTCAAAGCCATACTTGTAATACTTCTGAAATAAAGTGGGGTGGTACGAAAAACTTAACCAAGGTGTGACGCCAACGCCGACGCCGACGCCGGGGCGAGTAGGATAGCTCCCCTTTTCATAGAAAAGTCGAGCTAAAAACTGGACAGAGCACAAGGCAGAGCACTGGCAGGTTAATCACTAAAATCATACATAAGAAGAAATAATACGTAAAGTCTTTTTTATAAATACATGTATATCCGAAACTTTTCAATACGAGACAAAAATATGTCATACAGAGGCCAGCCCCTCAAACTCCCATATGTAAGATACCTTTTCATTTTTTGAAAATTTCTCAATTTCACAAAATGCCAAATAATTGTCCCAAATTTTAATCAGGGGCCTTTCCCAAAATAGTTGAAAAATGCACTGCATAATTTTTAAAATCAAATCTCTCACTAAATATAACAATAGTAAATGTCAAGGACCCGTATCAATTTACTAAGCCGACAAGAAAGAGGCTAACGGACAGAAGACAGGCAAAGTGTCATACCATATTTATTGATTCATTTTTACGAAATGATATTTCGTTCTAGTAATTACATGTACCAAAAGATATTTCGTCATAACGAATTAATTTTTCGTTATTACGAATTAGTATTTCGTAATTACTAATTAATATTTTATCATTATTTCGTAAAAACTAATTAATATTTGATAACTATGAATTAATATTTCGTAAAAAGGTACTGATATTCCGTAAATACAAACTAACATTCAGTAAAAACAAATTAAGTCCCGAGAAAAAAGTGTGAAAGATTTCACCGTAGGGGCTCCGTAGATTTACGTGTCTATATTCACTTTTATTCTTTTATATTGCAATAAAATGCAAAATGTAATAATTGAAGAACATGCACAACCCTTTATATCATAATGGTCAGACCAATTAATGTTAACGTTATCGTCTGTTCGACTTATGCGAATCAATACCAGAATTAATTCGTGCATGCGCACAGGCAATAGAAACGTCACGTTATTAAACTTTCAAAAAAAAAGTTGTTGTGCATTACACGAGAAATGCAGCAGGATTTGCACATCTATGCCATAATAGCATAAAGTCACATGCATTTTTTCAGTTTACATAGAGGATATTTGTTTGTTTTGCATGTAAGATTGAAATATAATTTCACTGAGTGAACACCATAGGCAATATTTTCACGAGTGGCGTAGCCACGAGTGAAAATATAATAGCTGGTGTTCACGAATGAAATATATTTCAATCTTATATGTAAAGCAAATAAATTTTCTTTTATTTCATGCTTTTTAAGTGATTTTAAGTATTTTTTTACTAATTTTGCCGCGTAACGTCGCGCATTCTCCCTTGTGACGTCATCATATCATGATGTCACATTATCAATTTTGAAATATAGGTCTGTTACATTTCTCTAATTTTGTTACATTTTTAACATTATGTATGATGACATGGACTTTCTTTTCCTAAAGAAGCAAAATTTACGCATGAAGGCATTTATTTCTGCCTTTATTCCATTTATTTATGATTTTCTTTTCATCGGCATTCAGATATAGTCCGTCTACAGTGAAAATTATATTTTATAAATTTCATTAGTGGTTAATCAGAATATAATCATTTTATTTACAATAAAACACCGGAAAGCATGAAATAAAATAGAGTAATCAACGAATGAAGGAAAATGCAATGCTGAATTATGTTAAATATGGAAAAAAATTCCTGAGTTGCTATTTAAGCTGTCTTTGTTAATTTTGTTCGCTGTATCATGCAAAGAGAAATTATACTTTCGATTTCTCCACAAGGAGGTTGCAGACATTTACTCTTTTAATATTTAGAAGATAACACATTTTAATAGTATGGACACCAAAATAAGAACTAGGGCAGTTTGGAAACCCATTTTATTTACGAAATGCATGAATGATATTCCATTTACAAGTACGACTTTTGTCATAAAAGCATTGATATAGTTACCATCTTTACTGGGTTTTTAAATAACTACAAAATATTTTGTGAAAGCTACACACGTGTATAAACTCAATAGGATTGTATTTAATCTTTCGAAAGAAACATTAATCTTTGGAAAACTAAAAGTTAATCTGCATATTGACATAATTAATTTCATTCTCATTCTAATAAAATAAAATATTTTCAAACCAAAATCTCAAAACTTAACACCAACGTTTGAAATATTTAGGACAATTCTATACAGTAGAATACAAATAGAATATCTTATAAAAGCGCATAGGACAAAATGGAATATCTTCTTCAACATAAGAATTATCGAGTACATGTATATCAAAAATAAAATAATGCTAAAAACCATACTTATAAAGAAAATTAATTTGAATGTATTAATCACTATACAAAAAGGCGAAATGAGAGAACGTGCGCGTCTGTGAGTGTGTGTGTTACATTACAGTTTTAGAAAAGAATTGAAAAAATATTGAAATGAAATATGTTATGATGAATACCTGTAACAACACTATTATAATATTATATGTTCACTTGAATGATTGTTATTCATGTATGAAAATAACATAATAAATGAGAAAAAAGGAAATTTAAAACAAATGCAGTTTAACATATAGAGAATGCTCAAATGTGATATTTGAAATGTAAAAAAAAAACATCTTTTGTATACACATATACAAATATGTTATGTTTAAAACTCTAAACACTTTAGGTAAACACAGTATGATTACATAGTGTCATTAAAAAACTGACAATTTTTATAAGAATAGACTAAATTAATTTGGCAAGTTATAGGAAAAGCAGCTTCCTAAACATATTTTATACATTCACTTATTGAAATCAGACATATTCAGGAAGAATTTAATTGTTTTCAATAAATGTATTTTAGCCAAAAATGACCATAGTATATCTTTAAATAATTTCAAAGGTATCATCTGTGATGTCATACATTTGCGTACAATTCAGTTCATCCCATTTAATAGTAACGGTTTTGTCTGTAACTCTTGTTACAGTTCCTGGTACTGTATGACCCTGAAACTAAAATAAAAATAGTTCGAGGCTTTTCAAAGTTATCACAGTGCCATTTACGTTGTGTACTGTAAACAAAAACAACAGAAACACAAAATGCATGTTGTTCTGATTCTTTCACATAACTACGTACTGTCGGTATAAGGCGTAACAGTTAACAAGTGACCACAAATTTAAATTGATTTCAAACATGAAGTTTTATGTAGATCTACAACTGAAAAATGTCATTTTTCCAGAATTTTGGTACACTTATTACATTATTACTAAACAAGCTTTTAGATAACATGTTACATCGCATTTGTATTTAAAAGCTGAAATATTTACCATTTGATATTTAGGTTTCCGACGAACACGAGTACCAACACAAAACTTCTGTTTTGCTGTTTCTGTAATGTTATAAATACACCAGTAATTAAGTATAGTAAAGGCATTTGCGCATGCGCCTTAAACGTATTATATAGGATTATCGATCATAGAAAAGCTATTATGATATGTCTGTATCAATAAAGCAAGACAAAGTTTTGTTATAACAATCAACAAATAATTCCTACTGAACATGTACGCTTAAACTTTGTATATCATTTATAGACTAAGTCTTATAAAAAAAACAATCTAAAATCTAAAAAAGACATAAAATAAATATACCTGTCGTTCTCACACTAGAAACATTAATTTACATGGCCTTTGGTTCCTAAATCAGACTAATGTTAATCAAATGTATACACTGATCACTTTAAGTCAATAACAAAATAAATAATGCAATTTAGCAGCGTAAGCTACAGTAACATTTAGACTTACAGCATAATGAAAACTACATAATAGAGTAAAGGTAAACTTTGTAAGATCTTAGATTATGATAACAGAAATATTTTAAGTGGTAACCGACCACACTTTCGAGTCATTTGCCCTTGAAGAATACGATTTTTATATTATTCGTATTATATGCAACTGTCTTAAAATACATTTACCTTTCCCCTAAATGTGAAAGTATTTCGCATAAAAGTAGACAAATGTAAAGAAAGTAGTATTTTGACTTTCATACAAAATAATAAATCTCTGCAACTGTACTGATTGCCAAAAAAGGACCAAAAGATAGTTCAGGTAATAAACAGGTGGTTTATTTTTCAAAAACATAACAGGTAAACATATAATAAAATAAGTTTAAAAGCAATCCTACTTTATAATGGGCATCTAAAGACGAGAATGCCAACCATCATATTTTTGCTTAGGATATTTCTTTTTACATGTTCTAAGATTCTATGGAAGAGTTGTAAGAAAACCGTCTTCAACTGTTAAGGAATTTCATCCCTTCAACTAAGAATGCTTACCTTTTGTCCTACATTCAATGTGACAAACCTGCAGTCTTCCTACAGGTAGTCTAGATTTCAGAAGCGCCGACATTTGATCATTACGAACAAACTTGAACCCTTTCAACGCCATGTCTTTTGTTGAGTGTTCGTTCATCTTTTCTATATCAGCTAGTTTAGACTTGCAATTAACTGCATTGATGAATAATGCATTATCACGATACAGTTGTGTGTCAAGCATTTGTTTCACTTTCTGAAGCTCTGACGTAAACGACTGTAATACTGCCTCAATCTTTGCCTTCGTTTCTGTGTTTTCCTTTCTCAGTATCTTCATTTGTGATAACAGCTTAGCCTCTGCTTCATCCAAACATTTATTTATCTCAGTTCTGAAGTCACGGAGCCCTTTCAATGCCTTTTCATTCATGTTTTCGCATTCATATTTACCCTTTTCAATTTCGTGTTCATAATCTGTTTTCTGCTTTTCAAGGTCTTCTAGTAGTTTCGCAATGCTTTTGTATGTGTCTCCATCTTTAAAGGATTTCGCCAAATCATTGATATATTCTGGTTTGCATGATGTATGTCCTAGTACTATACAATCTCCACACCCAACGATATCATGTGATCGGCAATAAAATTTGATGAGTTCATTGTCGTGCTTTTCACATCTGGTAACATCTTCTAATCCACTACATAATGAAAGTGAACAAAACTCCTGAAGCGAAAGAAACACGTGATTTCTACATAGTTTGCCCCTAAGGTGATACCGGAAGCACGTGGTACACATTTTCTCGTTGCATTCCCGGCATGCTCCACATGCTGGCGTTTTCACCTTTTCAACTTCACATGATACACATAAACTAGACTCTCCTACAGCAGACTCTGTGTCAATGTCCACCCTTTTGCCAGCTACTTCCATTTTAAGAAACCGATTCGATCAGTATGCTGATATTCTGTAATGTAAATATGAAACTTAAATATAAATTTCATTTCATTTCAAAGGACCAATATGTTAATTTTATCATAATTGTTATGTTTTTGCAATTTATTTTTACTGCTGCATTGCATGCGAGCCAAACCGTCAATGTCGTCGCCTTTAAATCACTTACCACTGTGGTCCCGTCTGGGACTTAGGATTTTGCCATGTCAATAAGCTCATGGAAGGTCGGTGGTTCTAATAGGGAATGCGAATGGACACATGAGGTATTTCTACACCACTCAATCTAAAAAGTCGTCATAATACCTTAACATTAATACGGAGCCCCTACGGTGACATTTTCACTTTTTCACCAGGAACTTAATTCGTTTTTACGAAATATTAATTCGTAATTACGAAATAATAATTCGTTTTTCCAAAATATGTATTCGTATTTACGAAAAATTAATTGTTTTTACGAAATATTAATTCGTTTTGACGAAATATTAATTCGTAATTACGAAATAATTATTTTCATTAGGAAATATTAATTCGTAATTACGAAATATCAATTCGTTTTTACGAAATATTAATTCGTAATTACGAAATATTAATTCGTAAAAACGAAATGTTTTTTTCGTAATTACGAAATAGTAATTCGTAAAAACGAATTAATATTTCGTAAATTGCCGGAAAAAATGTGGCGAAAAAGTCACCTTAGGGGCTCCGTACATAAAAGCCAAGTTAAAAAATCTTAATTTTCATGTTTCAGTTAGTTTTGTATCTGCAATACAATAGGCATACCGTATATGCATGTATGTCTCAATACGTTCATACGACTTCTATCTCTTAATTAATTATTGTAAGATTGTAGATTGCAAGAAACAATGCGTAAAAACTACAAGCCATACCAATATATTTTAATTTTCCTACGCATTCGCCTTTTTCACTATATCAAAAATAGTTTAAATAGAAAGTGTAATATAATAAATTATTTATTTTAACAGATACTACTTAAATGTATAAACATACAGCACAGTATAGATCTATAAAATACGCTCATCCTTGAGTAAAATATTTTAATCTAAAAAATTTATTGAAATATATATAATTCTAACTGAATATGTCTAATTTAAATGAAATAATGGATAAACTATGTTTGGGAAGTTGCGTTTCCTATTTCATGTCAAGTAAATTTGGCATTTTCTTTTAGAAAACTATCATTTTTTTATAATGAAGCTATAAATTCATATTGTGACTATCTATTGTGTATAGATTTTTTAACGTAGCATATCTACTCTGTATGAAGTCAAAACATGTTTATTTTATATCTGCAAAAATTATCAATAGTTTCAAATATGAAATCTTAGCATAGTGTATCTTTAATATCGAGGACAGTTGTAAGTAAATTTACGATAGCTCTATGTGTAAATCCGCATATCACTGATAACAATATTAACTTAGTTCATCTCCTTATTTTCTTCCGTTTTCTTTTTTTTTTTTTTTTTTTTTTTTTTTTTTTGGAGGGAACGGTAAGGGTAGATTCGTGTAGATTCAATACTAAATCTATTGAACTCGTTGAATAAAACAATACATGTATTATGCTCGCCAGAGGCTCGCATAATATGATTTTATTCAACTCGTTCAATAAATTTAGTATTAAACCTACACTCATTCAATATCCTCTATATACCAAATGTTAAAAATATGACAGATACATGGTCTATATCAGGTGTATATAAACAGTGTATTATGCCAATTAAATCTACTATTGATTAAACATACATGTTGTTTGGTCTCATGCGCATATGTCTATGCCCTGGAATAAACACCTGGGTTCTAAATCAGAAGTATACTTAATGTTCATTTCATTTTCGTTGGTGTATACAAATTGTACTACTGAAATATACAGAGAGGTCTACAAACCTTTATCCGCCCAACTTTCGGTTTTGATTGTCACCGGATACCGTACAGTAAACCGTTATGCGAAAATGTAAGAATGAAAGAAAAGAGAAATCTTTAAAACGAAACAAACAAAAAACATTTAAAAAGGAAAAAGGTTAAAGTCAACTTAAAACTTGATCAGAAATGTGTATTCACAAAATAAATTGTTCCATCAGTTTAGTTTATATAAATATATACATGTTGTTAAATAACATAACGTTAGCTTAACTCTTAACATCTACTTATTTACATAAAATACACAATTAATTTGTAATGTTATCGTCAAAGGGGTCTATTTGTCTATTTTGTTTTAATTTAAAGTATTGAATGATGGCGATTTCATATTACAATGTATAGGTAAACGCACATGCATGCAAATATATAACTATTAAACAGAAATGAAAATTTATTAAAAGCAATGGATATGTCCAACTTGCTTTTAGAATATGATATTGGATACTAACGTATACCTACATAATAGTGTAAGATGATGATCCCGTAAAATCTTACTTTAAAAAAAACAGGCAATAGACATGCATAAATTAGAACAATAAAGTATCTTGTTGTATTTTTTTTCTTTTGGATTCTTCTAATTGATTCTGTTCCTTTGTATATGAAGATACCTTAACTATAATAGTAATTGATGTAGAGTACATGTACCAGTTCTTTAAATAAAGAAACATAATGATGTTGTTATACAATGCTAACACCAAACATCACTTTCCATGAACTTTTCATTCCATGTTGCATGGAACATAATGATCGCTTGTATGATTCACAGCATTAATTTTATCTTTAATGGGCTTGTATTTATTAGAACAATGCATGCAATTATTAGAAAACTGTTTTACAGTTCTGTATTTGGTCATTGTCGCCATTATTCATTCAATCAAATGTATGTGTCAGACTAGTTAAAAAACATATTTTTTAACAAGAAGCAATGCAGGACAGTTTAGTGATTGTTACTCCCGGTTTAATTTCGTTACAGCTGGATTTAGTTGACAATTTCAGATCATCACAGTATTTGTTCGGGGTAATAAAATAAATAACACATGGGTTTGTGAGTAACAGTAAAAATATCATCCCTCGTAAAAATACTGTTACCCTCGGCGTCATCATTCCTCGTAAAAATACAGTTACTCTCGGCTGACGCCTCGAGTAACAGTATTTTCCTTAGGATAAAAATTTACTGTTACCCACAAGCCCATGTGTTATTTATATATTGTATACTAATATTACATACAGGCGTCTGTAATATGAGCCGTGTCACGACAAAACCAACATAATGGGTTTGCGACCAGGATGGATCAAGACCAGCCTGCGCATCCGCGCAGTCTGATCAGGATCCATGCTGTTCGCTTACCAACTCTATAACAAGTAGAGAAACTGATAGCGAACATCATGGACCTGATCAGACTGCGCGGATGCGCAGGCTGGTCTTGATCCATGCTGGTCGCAAACCCATTATGTTGGTTTTGTCGTGACACGGCTCATATGTTTGTGTATTTACAGTCATTGACTGTAGTATAGGCAATAATACTCCTACAAGAATGTAGGGTATATCTTTGTTACCGTTGGGCCTCTGATTATAAGGTGATTTATCACAGGACAGCAAGAATTTATTTAAGCGCATATAACTTATCACAGTTATTAAGTAAATTCTATTGAAGAGGTTCATTAAAAATATCAGCAAAATATGTGATGTTGGAAAACATTTATAGAATTGACCGTTAAGTAAGCCAGGTACTCGCTTACAGAGAATGCCAAAAACAGGGTAAGGACAAAATAATGAATACAACAAAACGGTATATATAAAACATCGGTACCATAATTAAGCTATAAAATTACAATCTATTTTTACAATTTTACAAATGCGCTACGGCTCTCTTTGAAGGATAATTTTGCATTAATCACCCAATTATCAGGATATTTAAAGAACGTGCTGATAATATCAGTGTATTATAACAGTTTTAAATCGAGTTCATTAATCTTAATGTCAGTCAATCTAATACTAAAATCAGCGATAACCCGTTACCTTTTTATACTGTTTACGTATAAGTGAACCTATGCGGCTTACATATGAGGAAAATGTACTATATAATAATGTCAACAAATTCTATATATGTTTCGGTAATAGTTTTACAAGACATTAAAACACTTAGCATCACACAAATGGCTTTTAGATTTGCAAATTTTGACGACTACCTTCCTGTCTATCAATAATAAAATCTTCGTCTATAAAGATATATATTTTAACAAAATCTCTAGAGCATGATTTATTTGACTGGATTGACTTCAATGGAATATAATCAATGAGAAAATGTCAAATCATTTTCATCTTAACACCATGGCATCGTCGGAATATATGAGTTTAACACTCTGTAATTGCTATTTGACATGAACACCGTTTTATCATTATTAATCACGAACTTATACAATAACGTACTCCTCAACTTAGATTTTCCAGAAATGTGTCACACATTAAAAGCACATATGTGAAACAGCTGTATTTGTTTACAGTATACCGGCTTCAGACTCAGTGTTCCGAAGAAAAATCCAATCTGACAGTAAGGAAATACTCAGAGCTTTATCATTGCATTTTGGTACTTGGTTTATAATTGTCCTTTTAATTAGAATCATCATAAATCTTCTTTTTTTTACTGTAAGCTATGGGCTTGTTCATTATTATCTTCTGTAGTAAAAGCAAGTATTTTTTTCTCTGTGTTTTGCTGGTCCTTCGGGTCATTTATTCCAAATAATTAGTGTTATACATAGACATATGTTAATTCAAGTTTACAAAACACAACTGTACAAGTTCTATTTTTAATTAAGTAATTTGAATGAAGTGAGGTAATTAAAATCAGCAGTGGAATTGCTGTTGATCAAAACAATGTTAATCGAAGCTACTATAAAACATATTGTCAGAGTTAAATTACACAATGCTTTAACTGGGATGCCGGTACTAGTTACCAGCATCTACTGTCTGTTCAGAGCATGCTCTTTGATTGGCTCATTTTTTCTGGGATTTACTTATAACGGGGAACGAATCAAATTATATGTGAATTTTCGCTGATCCAGATGTTCGCTATATCTCGATATGTGAAGGAGAAAATAGGTCAATCACAGGGTAAGTTTTCAACTTTTAAACATTTATATAAAATTCAAAGTTTTTTTTAAGAAAGTCGAAATGTGATTCTACCTTCCTGACTTTCCTTTTTTACCCATTATTGTTCAGGATTTTTATGAAGTCTTTATCGAGATATTCTTTCCGTCGTGGGTTCTGGTTTGCCAAAAACATGCATATACGTACGGCGTAAGCTACCAACAAATACGTCGTAAGCTACCTATACATACGTCGTAAGCTACCTATACATACGTCGTAAGCTACATATACATACGTCGTAAGCTACGTATACATACGTCGTAAGCTACATATACATACGTCGAAAGTTACCTATACATACGTCGTAAGCTACCTATACATACGTCGCAATCTACGTATACATACATTGTAAGCTACCTGTACATACGTCGTAAGCTACGTATACATACGTCGAAAGTTACCTATACATACGTCGTAAGCTACCTATACATACGTCGAAAGCTACCTATACATACGTCGTAAGCTACCTATACATACGTCGTAAGCTACATATACATACGTCGTAAGCTACATATACATACGTCGAAAGTTACCTATACATACGTCGTAAGCTACCGATACATACGTCGCAATCTACGTATACATACATTGTAAGCTACCTGTACATACGTCGTAAGCTACATATACATACGTCGAAAGTTACCTATACATACGTCGTAAGCTACCTATACATACGTCGAAAGCTACCTATACATACGTCGTAAGCTACCTATACATACGTCGCAATCTACGTATACATACATTGTAAGCTACCTGTACATACGTCGTAAGCTACATATACATACGTCGAAAGCTACCTATACATACGTCGAAAGTTACCTATACATACGTCGTAAGCTACCTATACATTATTAGTTATAAAGATCGTTGACAGGTTATATGGCCCTATATAAACGGCTATTTGTAAATATAACCCGAGCCGCTAGGCGAGGGTTATATTGCAAATAGTCGTTTATATACGGCCATATAACCTGTAAACAATCTTTACAACGAATTTATAATACAGCACGCATCATTTTTTAGTGAAAAAAGTAAGATTTCTTCATAAATCGACAGCAGCCGTGTATATAAAACTATATAAACGTCACGATTATCCAATGAAAAGCGACGTTACAAACGTGCAGTATTATAATATTAGTTATAAAGATTGTTGACAGGTTATATGGCCCTATATAAACGGCTATTTGTAAATATAACCCGAGCCGCTAGGCGAGGGTTATATTGCAAACAGCCGTTTATATACGGCCATATAACCTGTCAACAATCTTTATAACGAATTTATAATACAGCAAGCATCATTTTTTAGAGAAAAAAGTAAGATTTCTTCATGAATCGACAGCAGCCATGTATATAAAACTATATAAACGTCACGATTATCCAATTAAAAGCGACGTTACAAACGTGCAGTATTATAAACGTCGTACGCTACGTATACATACGTCGTAAGCTACGTATACATTCTTATCACACACCTGTGCCGATTTTGCGACTCCGTAAATATGGTATTGCACGGCCGTGCATATATTTTGACGTGACGTCATTAGCGTCATACAAACATAGTGTATGTAAGCGTTATACTATAGGCGTGTCAATGAAAAATGACTCTTATTTCACTTTAAACAGTCTTTATTTTGGGTATGTGATAAATAGAATATTAAATTCGTGTAAGTTCATTACTGAATTTATTGCACTCGTTGAATAAAATAATATTATGCTCGCCAGAGGCTCGCATTATATAATTTTATTCAACTCGTGCAATAAATTCAGTATTGAACTTACACTCATTCAATATCCTCTATGTCTTAAGTAACGTATACATACGTCGTAAGCTACGTATACATACGTCGTAAGCTACCTATACATACGTCGTAAGCTACGAATACATACGTCGTAAGCTACGACGTATAGCTACGTATACATACGTCGTAAGCTACGTATACATACGTCGTTAGCCACCTATACATACGTCGTAAGCTACCTATACATACGTCGTAAGCTATGTATACATACGTCGTAAGCTACGTATACATACGTCGTAAGCTACGTATACATACGTCGTTAGCTACCTATACATACGTCGTAAGCTACGTATACATACGTCGTAAGCTACCAATACATACGTCGTAAGCTACGAATACATACGTCGTAAGCTACGTATACATACGTCGTAAGCTACGTATACATACGTCGTAAGCTACCAACAAATACGTCGTAAGCTACGTATACATACGTCGTAAGCTACGTATACATACGTCGTAAGCTACGTATACATACGTCGTAAGCTACGTATAATCTACGTCGTAAGCTACCTATACATACTTCGTAAGCTACGTATATCTACGTCGTAAGCTACGTTTACATACGTCGTAAGCTACGTATACCTACGTCGTAAGCTACCTATACATACGAAGTAAGCTACCTATACATGTAAGCTACCTATACATACGTCGAAAGCTACCTATACCTACGTCGTAAGCTACGTATACATACGTCGTAAGCTACGTATACATACGTCGTAAGCTACCTATACATACGTCGTAAGCTACCTATACATACGTCGTAAGCTACCTATACATACGTCGTAAGCTACCTATACATACGTCGTAAGCTACCTATACATACGTCGTAAGCTACCTATACATACGTCGTAAGCTACCTATACATACGTCGTAAGCTACCTATACATACGTCGTAAGCTACCTATACATACGTCGTAAGCTACCTATACATACGTCGTTAGCTACCTATACGTGAGTCGAAAGCTACCAATACATACCTCTGCTTTTGCATGATTTGAAGTAATAAGTTTTTTGTTTCCGTTGCTTTCGGGATATAATTAAGAAATAACATCGGCCTTAGAGGTGTATACCGGTTTGGAGTTTTGATGCGTAGAAATTGACCACGAAGGCCGTAGGCCTGAGTGGTTAATAGTCCAGTCAGTCTGTAAATCGACCTCAAACAAATTGCAACAGAAAATATTTTAACTGGTATAGAAAGTATATGGAATAACATGAATCATATCAAAAGTCTAGCAAAATCTAAGTTGCGCAACATAGAAAAAACGGGTTTTTATCGCGTTATTTTTTGTGATTTTTTTCTGACGACAACGGTCTTCCATAGGCGAACAAAGCGTTTCCGATACTCAGAATAGCGACTGCATAATGGCGACAACAACAAACAAAATAAGTGTAAACAAAATAAATGTCAGTAAAGTACACTGTAAAGTGGGTTGGTATATCTTCCTTAAAATATTACAGATCATAATAGGAATTATTAATGTGTGGTCGTAAGTTTATTATGAGTATTTGTTGAAAATTATTACTTGTTTTACCAGTTCTTTATCCGTTGAAGGTCAACAGGTGTTTCAAGCGATCTGTATTATACTTTTCATGGAAAACAGTTTAATTTATATAAATTACAACTCTGATTAACTCCTGTGTTAGTTAACATTCAAAATCGCCCTAAAAATGTGTATTTATAACAAGTTAATTTCGACAGTATTTTTAAACTATGGAACGCCATTATCACTTTAATTATGACGAATTACGTTAAATAAATTCTGAATACTTTAATCATGTTTTATTGTTAAATGTGTATTCAAGGTTGTTTTTTTTTTGTATTTTTTAATAGTTTTTTAAAATTGTTTTACATATATAATGTATTTAATGTAATTATTATTTCAGGGGTACCGCTTTGAGGTAGTCTTCATTGATGTATGCTTGATTTTGAAAATAAAAAAAAATCCAGTAAACTATATGTACACTAAATGAGTAAGTTTGCTTTCTTGTGCTTACATTTGTAATATTTTTACATATATAACACAAATATCAAACATTTTCTTTTACTAGTTTAAGTGAATTTTAAACATGGAGGAAATAGAGCGTTGTATGCATAATTCAATATATCTGAAATTATTTTCAGTTTTTAATAGACATAGAAGAAATTTATACATGAAAAGGTGACATGAAAAATTTATCAATAAACAAACGTGATTTCTAGTTTTGGTTCATGATTGGCGATGTGTATAAGTTCAAGGTAAACATGCACAGTTGATCCATAATTCAAAAGAAAATCTTTTATGCATACAATAGCACCTGCGAGAATTTGAAAAAGTGCATTACGTGTATAAGATTAATTCACAGTGATATATTAGTATTTCTTTCGGAATGCACACCTAAGTTGACTATAGTATAATTTTATCACTTTTAAAATCAAAATTTAAGCAAATAGATGTAACAATAAAAACATCTGTGTATTCTATAGAACCTTATTTCACGTAAATATGAAAATAAGAAACTTGAAGTAATTTCTATGTTACAGATTTCATCAACACACCAGAGCCAATGGGTATGCCCGATCATGTGTTCTGAGGACACTGTGATGTATACGAGTTAAAGGTAAAGATGCATAGTTGAGACATTTGTTTCACAAAATCACTTTAATGATATTTTTCATATAAGCAAACTTTTAAAGTGTGTCATAAGTTCCATATAGTAACATATCAGTACAAATATTTTTGAATGCATGCACGGATGGGCATTAGAAATGCTTAAAATTGAAAGGTGACATTTTTAAACTCAATATGTGACTTTATCTTTACGTTACTTCCAAACACTTTAACCAGTAGGTATTTTATATTTATAATTTTAGATTAAAACCTTAGAAAATAATAATAATATCTGTCATATGTTGCGGTTCGGATCGGAATATCCGTCCCGAGGTGACCCGCCCATTGGGCGGTAACGAGGCTTGCCGAGTTACCGCACATGGGCGGGTTACCGAGGGACGGATATTCCGATCCGAACCGCAAACATATGTCAGATATTTTTCTTGCATTTTTTTATGATATAACATTATATTTTGAATTCTTTATCTTAATTTTCAATGGGAATTTATGCCATTACAACCGAAACTATTTTTCGTACAACAGCGTATGAAATTACAACTTCATTCATAACGGTAAAATTACGTCATCCTAAAACCCCAGTCACACTAGAGCTTAAGATTACTTGCGACCACCGCGACTTGTAAAACTGACGATCATCAGCGATTGTCTGCGGCCAAAACCCTTTTTGCAGATAAATTTACTTCTGCGACTATCGTAAGACCAGTCATCATTGACAATCGCACGACAAGGTCATATGCAAACGTACGATGGTCTCAAGATTGTGTGGGATTACTTACGGCTACCCGTGACCTGTCATGCGATCACCTACAACTAGTCGTACGACCATCACACGATTACTAAAGACTACTCATGATTATCAGTGACTAGTGGCAATTTGTAAAGACTGTCGTAAGATTGTCGCACTTCTGAACGACCATCGTGCGATAGCCTAAGACCTTATAAGATTACTAGCGACCTGTTTGATCGCAAGGAGGTTTTTGTGCAAGCTCAAAAACCTCTCTACGACTGAAATTGGTCGTGGAACCTAAAGAAGAAAGCCTGCGACTGTCAAAGATCACCGATGACCGTCGTAACACGTTTTAAAGATTGTCCGCGACCAGATGATCGTGAACTGGTCTTCACTGGTTGTAAGCTCTATTGTGACTGGGGCTTAAGCGTGACATTATACAGCACGCGACTCATCTGGCACCCCCTATACCAGATGAAATTTCCGGCATGGGCAATACTAACGGAAACGCCAGTCTGATATGCAAGAAATGTGTGTCATATCAGCAACTTTGATCAAATAAATACACCTAAAACATTTTAAGGAAAGCCTTTTAGGAAAAATACATCTTATAATAACACGTACTGTTCTGGGATAACTGAAACAGTACGTAATCAGCTACAAATAACTAGAATACAAGAATGCAAGGGATGATCCAGAAATACCCGTAATTTAAACAATAAATTCAATAATATTTATTCAAAGTTCATATAACAATCACTTTATTACTGCGTAATATATCCTCTTTACAAGGAAACAAGAATATGATAAATAAACACAGTATGCCTACCATATAAGCAAAGATAGGATTTGTCACATTATGCAAAAAAGGTTGATGTTCTATTGTTCTTATACATAGGGAATCCTCCCGATGCCATTCACTGTAAGTGTACTAACAACCTAAACCTATGACTATTGAACTGCTAATTGCTTTGATTGCTGTGATTCATACACAAGATCATCTTAAAGCTGAAGGCATAAAATATATGATTCATACAATTTCATTAGATAAAAAGTGCATGTAAAAGAAAACAAATAAAGTATGAAAAACAGCACACAATCGTCAATTAGAATTCATTTTTTTAAATCGCATTGAAATTGTGTAAGGCCGCATATGACAGCATATTTGTATTTTTCAATCGCCACAGCGACGGAGAACGTTAACTTCACGCGTATTCTTCTATGCCGCAAACGATATGTATTTATCTTTAAAATTACTCCAACAGTCTGGTAAAAAAACTTCTTTACCCCTCAAAAAGTTTTGTATGCATGACTAACAAAATACTTGTGTCGAATTTTTTTATCATATTAGATGTTTCTATGGTAGGCTGTCTAAACAGTTGACAAATGTTTATGAAAGTGCCGTTTTCTGACGCCTTAATGAAGACGTTTTTGCATAAATAAACGTTGCAATTACAAATGATTACACAAAAATACAATGTTCAAACGACGTTAAATTTTAGCAGGCTTTACATTAACCTTCGGCAAATATTGGACATGATCCCTTTTTGTGTCAGGCACTTTGGTGTATTATAAATTTCAACGAACGTCGTGTTGCTGTGGCATATCCAGGGTTATTTAAGGCGGCCTGAGACGGTACTGGATGTTTATTATCAATTATATTTGGCAAATAAATAGAAGAAACATCGATCTTTGCGCATTTATAAATTTAATGAAGAAAACATAAAAAGTTATCAGAATTATAAACAAATTTTGGGTAATTCTGGATCAACCTCCATATAATGTAAAAAACATATTTTACAAATCTTACAATATCAGTTATTGTTTTTTTTTTTTTCAAGATGAACTCCTTTCGGATTGGATAACGGCTGTTTGATGATCATACAAAGACAGTTAAAGGCAACGGAAAGGAATGCAAGGGAATAAATGCTGCCAGTGAGAAATAAAATGACAGTTTAAAAGTTGAATTGGAATAATATATTCACATTGAGTGTAGAAAGATGTACTGTAACCCACATTACACTAAAAGAGACACTAAGACAGGAAAAGAAAACACTGATGCCACCATTGAGATCAATGACTGATAAGTTTTCACATGACTGATAAGTTTGTCTGATACAGTGAGAGCAAGGATAGAACAGGTTGTAGAGGATGCTCTTTACCATCAAACATGTTTATGCTAGTCTAATTTCAGAACTGGAAAAGATACAGAAGAATTTCAGGTGCTACCATCTAGTGATAAAAAGTGAAAGATTGGTCGACCAGAAATTACAGAAGCGAGTGACGCTTTGTAAAAGTCATGACATTCTTGTGCTTATGCAAAGCGAAGATATTTTACAAATTAAAATTTGCAAATATTTTTTTTTTTTTACATTTTATGCTCAAATGTATCAAATATTTGAAATTGACCTTCCAAAAGGTCTTTTGACCCAATGTCATGATGTTATTTAATGACTCAGAAAAAAATACAACAGATGTGCTTGAAAGTATTCAAGTTAATATAAAACTCAATATTATTATCATAGATAATAAAGATTTCCTTAATGTTTCCTTATTTTGTATAAAATTACCCCACCCACTAGCTGTACAATGTTAATATAAATATTTCAATATATGCATTAATTATTGATGGAATGTAAATTAAATTCATAAAACGTTGAAACTTGACATTTTTCACATGTACGTAAACCATTATGTATTTTCTGTTTAATATTATATAACATAGAGCTTTCAATAAATTGTTGATCTACAGCAATGTAAAAATATAATATTACCCCACCCACTTAAGTTAATTAATAAATTTTAGAAAGGTAAAAGTAGTTTCTTTAAACAAAAACAACTTTTTGATTACTTTATGTTACTATAGGGATAGATTAAGCTATATTTTTATGCATATTATATATAAAACTGATTGGAAAATTTTATGTATGTATTACATTGAGTTTAAATTAAAAAAATAAATACAATGATACCCATATATTTGATCTCAATTTTTGAAAACATTCTCCAATTTAGATTTTTCTAGACTTTTGATATGTTATACAATATAGGTCTGGGGTTTCAAAACACTCAAAATATTTTCTGTTGCAATTTGTTTGAGGTTTGGCTCTATTTTGAGCTAGAATGACTGGACTATAATGTTTTCGCATCAAAACGACAAAACCGGTGTTAAATAGCCGATATACACCTCTCAGACCGATGTTATTTCGATTCTTACACGATAAAATAAGGAAGATCACTAATGTTATTTTTTCAAGCGGAAATAACTTCCGGTGCCGATTTTTGCATAACGCTGTTCGATTTTCACACCCTACTGTTGCAAAGATATAGAAATTATTAAAGAAAAGAAATAATAAAAAAAAAACGTTATTTTATCAAGTTTTTAACAATAAAACTTACGTCGTATTGTGTTTACACCATTGCCCCATTTGCCATTCTTGTATGTATGAAATAACGTCAGCTTGTTTATGAACGGGTTGTTTGCTTAGGATGACGTCATTACGCTGCTTACGGATGATTATAACAAGGAGAAAACAATATAAGAGAAGAGATATTTCGTATCAGGAAAGTGCAGGAGGTTGGGGCGGGGGGTTAAGGCATTCTTTCAAATTAAACTGATTTCTTAATAATATAAGTGCATTAGCAGAAAACGTGCTTCACTGCATTAAAGGCATAATTTGTTTTGCTATACTAATACTTGTATTTCGTGATGAAAATAATTATTAAGTGTTGTGGAATAAGAAAATCTTTATGTGTTTTATCAAAACAACTTCTTTGGTTGTTCGGTGAATTTGTTTTAACGCCAATAACATATTTTAAGCAATGTTCAATGTTATGTTAAAAAAACTAATAACAACAAAGATTATATGAGCCGCGTCATGGCAAAACCAACATAATGCGTTTGCGACCAGCATGGATACAGACCAGCCTGCGCATCCGCGCAGTCTGATCAGGATCCATGATGTTCGCTATCAGTTTCTCTACTTGTAATAGACTTGGTAAGCGAACAGCATGGATCCTGATCAGACTGCGCGGATGCGCAGGCTGGTCTGGATCCATGCTGGTCGCAAACCCATTATGTTGGTTTTGTCGTGACGCGGCTCATATATTTATCATCAGATTGTATATAATTATATTTGCATCAATCCGATTAAAATCAGCTCCTAATTAACGCTACATGCAATATTTATAATCTAATTAAGTAGATCTGAACTTGGTCAGATTGAATTTATATTAGCAGTGACAAAAAGAGTAGCTTAATATGTAAATTACAATTTTAAATGTAACGTATGAAGGCTAAATGGCTTTCAGTTGACTGTATATGAAAAGTTGTATTTTAGTACACAGTACACTTTACTGGATGATGATTTCTTGTAGTGTCTTTTTGGTGTCATTGGTGCTTAGTTAACACAATTAACTGAAGAACCTATATATATAGTGTTATACATGTACTGATAGCTAGGGGGTTAAGCACTGAAATGCTTGATTTGTTTTCCCTATGTGCATTTTAAGAAATGTAGATTTTGGATAGTTATCAGGAAATAGTGCTTAGATAGACCACCAGCCCAGATATGACCAAAAGTATATTAAAATCGACGTAGAAAACCAGACAAAATTTGTGTATTTCTAATGTTAATGCGGCAGAAAATAATTATCCATTTTCATGTAAAATGTTTTTCTTAAATCTGACATAGTGGAAGCCAACAATAGTCAATTGTGAAAGGGGAGTTACTTTGATTTACTTCTGTTCATTATGTATAGTAGTTCTCTCCCTTGACATTACGACATGTTCGGTGTTCGGGCTGCTTTAAATGTACCTTAATCTATTTTAACCATCAGAAATGCACATTTTTACCGTCACACTGTAATAATATGCCACTTATTATGCTTATCACGGGGAGGAACTGTTACACGGAGGATGGAGTTCTTCTTATGTTCGTGTAATGAGTTCTTCTGATAACTATCACGGAGTTCCTGACGTTACGGATTTCGTCGGAAAACTTGTGTGTATATCGAAGAAACACTCGTCATATTGGCTTTTTTCATATTAAAAAAAGAAAGTTTCAGGTGTTTAATTAAACTTTGATGATTAAGCTTCCCTTTTTACATATTGTATTTTGTGTAAGGAAATACTTTATAGTCTATTTTTCATCGCCTCTTGTTTAAAATCTGGTGGTTCTGAGTAAATTGTCAAATAATTAGCTAATACGTACATACTGACCTTTTCTTTTTGTAATTTCCTTCCTTGACATTCTGAATTACCTAATAATAATTGAAAGTTGCAAATATAAAGCTCCGGCTTACAAATTATTAAATGTCGATTGTTCAAATGTAGTACGCAACTGAAAAAATGTTATTGACAAACATTGAATCAGGGTCTGTCAATGCGAATAACATGCACATATTTTTTTATTGTTTTGCATTGTAAACATACAAACTGAGTTCTAATTTGAAAATTACAACTTGATAAAATGATAAGTCGTTTAAGCAATGAGTTTCTTTAGTTGTAATCCACAAAATCCAGATTTAAATAATATGTTTATGTCCAAGAAATCAATTTCAGACAAAACATCTACTTGCATACAGTACCTATCCTATCTAAAACTAACATAGGTTGCAGGATGGAAAACAAAAATAATATGGTAGTTCTAAGTTTGGTCAAATTATTACCATTGAAAATTCTATATTTACCATGGAATGGTATTGTTTTGTTTTCTACAAAGCACGACATTTGAATTTTTTGTACTTGGAACATATTTCTGTTTCATGAATTGTGTCATATCTAGAAAAGGTTTAAATCAGGTGCTGACAGTGGAAGGACAGACCTACTCGTATACAGCTATACATATACTAGTATGCGCTACCACCTATGTAGTAGGGGCATAAAAATTCAGTAATGTTAAAAAGTGTTATATCAAACAAAATTAAACAAAATTCATATTACAAATTGACATAAAGATTTCGTACAATGATAGCCTGAATCCTTGTAGGATCGCTCATGTGGTTGCCCTTGAATATTGTTATTATCATTAGCTATCAGTCAATATATTCAAACTGAAAAACGGTTGTTGTTTTTTTTTTAGAATTTGATGATATTCAAAATTATACGACTATACCCTACACACTAGGAAAAGTGAATAAAGTGCAGCTCTTCAAATAGTCGAGCTGAAACAAGAGATTTAGCCCTTAAAATGCCTCAAGCAAGATACCATAGAAACCGACGGAAAGTTGTAGCGAACATGATTGCGCAACTCAGGAGTAAATTTAGTTTATCGAAAAAATGCTTTAATCCGTTCTATACACTTATCCGTCGAATAAGTCAGATACAGTTACTCATGTTTTCAACAAAAATGTCTTCTTACAGACGTGAAGAAGACATTTTTCTAAGACAAACAACAGTTTATCCTCGGCTTCGCATCGGACAATTTGTTGTTTTCAGTCTATATTCTACTTCACCGTCAGAAAATGTTGCAATTAGATTATAAATAATTATCACCGTAGTTTGGTTTGAGCCAATGTCCAACATATTATTAATGAAGGCTCAGATTTAGGGTGGTTGAAGTGTAGAATGTAACTTTTGGAACTCAGCCAATCCACATTTAAATTATTATACCTCTCATTAATACTTACGAGGGATGATCCAGAATTACCTGAAATTTGTTTATAATTCTGAAAAAAATCATGTTGTCTTAAGCGCACAAAATGAAAGTTCCTCTATTTAACTGCAAGATAAAGATTGATTTAATTGCATCCAGTACCATCTCAGGTCGCCTTAAATAACCACGTTGTTTTTCTTATTTCTGTCCAGCTATTGTCTTTAAATAACATCAACCTGCTTTGCTGAGTTGTCACACACAGATAGAAAATGTGGCCAGTGAGAAATAGATTGTGTTTCTTTACCACAACAGGATACAATTGAAGATTCTTTTCTCATGTTTACCTAAAATTGTCCGTAGTACATATCAGTGTCAAATACTATTATTATTACGGGGCTATTTGTATGTATATATTTGAAGCTGACAGATTGGTCAGTGTAATGTACCGAAGTAAAGAAACATGTGTGTGATTTATTGCCTTTGTGATATGTCTCAACTGGAAAGACGAATCCGCCATCTCTGGTCATAGGGATTGAAAAATATTAACTTTGGTCGGAACCCCAACCCAGGACTCCCGGACCACCCTTCCACATCTTCACCGGCTAAGTTACGTGGTCACTTACGAACTTCATCTTTATTAATTTTCAAATATAAATTGTGATTAGACTGTCTTTATTAAAGTCTCATCTGAATTACATACGTAACGTACAAGAGACTGTCGAAGTATCATAGTCAAAGGGAGGCAACTCCCACTCCATACTGCAAGGATTTCCAATTTAACTTACAGAGTTACCTCTCTATCAGTTCCATATTCATATGCATATTACAACTATAAGAAGCTAATCTTGCATTCCTGAGGCCTATTGTGCCTTTAAATAGGAAAATAACTGCGTTAAGTTAAAATTATGCAAGATGTAAAGAAGAGCAGTTGCATTGATGGGTGATTGAACAGTTTGTCCCCCTTTTGTAGCATGGCCAAGAAGCTTTTTTATTCTACGGCCATAACTCAAAAATCATTCATCCGTAAAATCCGTTAAATATGCGCAAGTACTTGAGGTACCGATCAATCCAGTTTTACTCAGTTTGCATTGGTATAATAGAAGTCCGGACGAAACTTTAAAAAAAAACACTAACTCTGACAAAAACATTAAACTTGAAAATGCCGACGATATGCACCACCATCCGTGGTACTGACCATTCCTGTAAAGTTTGGATAGATTTTCAAGAGAAGTCCAAACAAATTTTGTGACGGACGGACAGACGGTTGGGTGAACAAACGGACGGGCGAACAGACAAACAGACGACAGAGATGTCGCCTCTTCTCTGTGACATTCTGTGTAATATCATATGGATTGAAAATAAACAAAATGACATTATAGTTCATTGTATATTTTATCATATTTCAGTTTTACAAAACAGTGACATTGAAACTTTACCCGTAAATTTCAAAATATTAAAGTTAATGTTAGCATATTTTGATTGAACATTGCATTATGAGGTAGGCCATACTTTATTGTCTGAAACAAAAATGAAATGATAAAGCGTATAATTTAAACGTGCATTTCTTGTACATCTTTTAAAATTATCGAAGCAATTAATTTGTCGTTGAGTTAATTTATGTTCCTTATTAGTTTCCGTATTTTCGAATACTGGAACAATGCAGCCGGCAATATGGAGTCTTGTCAGAAAGTGCCGAACTACAGCTGGTTCTACACCTAATAAAAATGTTAGAATACATTTATTAACGAAAATAAACTTACTGGTCGTTTGTCAAAAATGTTAATACATAAAATTGATCCTCTTACTGTCGGATTAGTTTTCAGAAATATACAATGTTGGTACAACGTTAACAGATTAAATATAATACATAGAAAATCTTATAACATATTTAACATAATATAATATATTTATACTTAACCAGGCATAAAAGAAATTAAAATATTGTAACAAATAAATGTGTAATATGATGTAGCTTCAATCGCTTTTTTTGTAATGGACGAAATGAAATGAACAAAAATATAAGTATATTGTTTTTAAAAATTGCGTTACGTTACACTTAATATACTTTATCCGTTTTACAAAGAGAAAAACTTCTGTTTGAATAAAATTTCAATAAAACGAATTGGAAAAGCCTCTTTTACTATAGTTTCAAACATTTCTCCGTAAATAGAATGGTTAGTTTAAAAATGTTTCTTAATTAAATTCTTCCGAAATAAAAAGGATCCAGTGAAAAATGGTGAACATATAATATAACATTGGTTCTACTAATCTAAATAATCATTTCACAAGATGATTCACTTGAGCCATCTTTGTCGTTATCTGTTGCTTCGAGATAGGCACGTAGAGGGAGTTTTTGAGATATATCGGCAACATTCGGTACATGTATCGGTGTTACTCGGACATTTTCGGAAACAACCGGGTTGTTTGTCGGTGGATTCCGAGTAATTTTGTATTGTTCCAATTTATCTCTTTTTCCTTGCTTAAGTGGTAAGGCATAAAGCATTTTATCCCCAGTGCATCTACGTGTTGAACCGCTCCAGTCACTGACAGGGGTGTTTCTAGGAAACGCTGAGTCATCAGAATCACTAAATGTAACAGAGTTGTTGCCCTTTGAATGAACAAATCCAGAAATATCAGAATTTCTTATTGAGCACGGTTTGTTTTCATCAACAGAAGTATCAGCCACTGATGACGAATAATCAGTTTTTGATGAAATTAATTTATGTTTTGCGACTGGCATATTGCTTTGGCGATGATTTGAATGTGAGGTAGAATCTGCTATTCTGATTAAATCTCGTCGTCTCTGGCGAGCATATGCTTTTTCATATTTGTGTGTATTTATTTCTTCTGGATTATGATAGTTCTTTACTTTAGGCACATAATTTTTATGTTTACTAGCACTTTTCGATGACTTGTATTCACGTCTCTTTTTTCTAGAGAATTTATATTCAGTATCCTCAGGAATTCTGTCACTAATTTTAAAATTTCTTCTCGATTCTTCAGGGCTGGATTGGTTTTGCCTCATAAAAGCACATATTGTACAGTCTGTGGAGTCTGACGCTGTTGAATATGCCGGTTCAACCTTTTTCTTATCAAGCAGACGCTTTTTAGCAAGAACTGTAACCGGAAGTTGATAACTATCCAATGTATGATCTGTCGTGTAACCATCAGAGAAGAAACTTGTGTCATGATCCTTTCTAATTAAAGAATTCAATAGATCTATTTTCACATGATTCTTATTATTGTCTACAGAATTAGAATTTTCCTGTAAAAGATTATCCCAACTGTCTGTCAGAAGCTGTGTTCGACTACTGACTAAACTCAACGCATCCATTGTCGATAACTGAGACAGTATTGTTTCTGAGGTTTGGCGCCAATCTTTCTCATATACACCACTTCCGCTTGATATGGAATCCGTGTCAGTCATTCTAGCAATACTTGAATCAGAATCAAAGAAACGTTTGTGTGTGTAAGTTCCAGACGCTTGGACCGCGGTGTACATCTTTTTCTCGGGAACTTGGATGCTTTCAAGGTCGGTGTCACGAATTTGCCAATGCTCTCCGGATGAGTTAAGCATTTCATGCGCTGATTCCGTATCTGAATCAATGTATTTATCTTCTAATAGATTTTTAAAGTACTGGCCATTAGAAACAGCTTTCTGATATTGAGAAAAGTATCCCGCACTGAATGGTCTTTGCATTTTAATACTGTGCTTGGAACAAAGACTGAGTCTACAGTTGATACAACCTTCATTTTCATAAAAATGTTCCTTCTCGGAATCAAATAATGGCACTGAGTGGAAGCAATTTTTATACAGAACTAAACATACCATTCCTACAATAAAGGAAACTGCAGCAATTAACAAAAATACGTTTTTGTCGAAGATGGATATAAAAGTATCCGAATGAAGGTACCAAACAATTGATATCACGATATTTTCGAGAAACATGACGAGGTAAAAGAACGCATATCTAAATGTTGTGTTTTCTGTGCCGAAATTGATGAAACAAAAAATATACATGAACGAAATCATAATTTTTTTGAGAACTTCCGTTGTTTTTGGTGAGCCTTCGTTATCGAATAATCCAAAGTTTGTACACAAACAAATGAACATTATCAATCCATGAAGTCCTAGAATTAAGAATATCCAGAAGAAATATATCGAAGCAAACAGTGTCAAACACAATATCCTTGACGTGATTTCTCCGAAACGCCAAACCAGACGACAAATAAAACTTAGACAGGTGATATCTCTTATTTCATATTCGTCCTGTCTTCTTGTAACCCGAAATGTTGCTAGGAACCAACAAGTGGCAAAGAATGTCACCAAAATAGTCGCTACATAAATCCAGTCACTGATGTCAAAGTATACTACGATGAAAGATTGGATTAATAAAAGTGGTAATAAAAATAGGAAAGTAAACACAAGTTGTAAATATCTTATGTAGTTCTGTCCTTGTGCATGGGAATTCAGATCTACTTCGCGGAATACATCAATATGACGCCAAAGAAAGCCAAGTTGAAGTAAGTGAATAACAGCTATTCCAATGGTTGACTTTGTGGATGCATTGTCTCCCTTTTCTGTGAGAAATAACACTGCTGATACGATGTGAAGGATGACGATTGGGAACACAAATAATCCTAAATATGGTAAAAACCACGGCTTTAACTCATCATGTGATCTGATGATATTTACGAAAACCCCATTTGTAACCAGCGTTCCTATATACAAAGCTGCTGAAATTGTCAGAGACAATCCGAAACGAATATCATGTAACACCATCGTTTGAACGCTATATGGTTACGTCATCTGTAATGATTGCCCTCATCAATAAACCTGCAAATATAAATGAATAATATTATTTTATCTCAATATTCTTTAACGGTGTAAAGATGTAACATGTTCCGTGAAGAGAAAATAGCATTATTCCGTCTTTGTTCCCGTGTCATCTCAAGATTTCAACGGTGAATTTGAACTGAAATGTTAATACTGTAATTTGTTCACAAAGTAATTGTTAAATGTAGATATCATTGTTCCAATGTAAACGTTGTGCAAATAATTACATGCATGACGGTATTGTTTTGTGATGACCTGTATAATATTGTCTTAAATAAAATATTTTCATATTATTCATTTCATAATATTTTGTTCGTGCACGTTGATTATTAATAGTTGCACACATTTTGATAAGGTAAAATTTGGCACACGTATTAGTTTAAAGTGTAAACAAAGGGTGTTTATCGTAATAAATGACTTAAAATCCGTGTATAAATTTTCTAACCTAGCACCGATCTATTATCAGAGATAATAAAATGATTCCAAATTGATATTTGAACTAAAAGGTTCGACATTTATCTTGGATGTGGACTTATCATTGAATGACAAATTTGTATGTCGTGTCACATCGAAATATGATCAAATTGATAAGTTTAAATTTTTATTCTGACCTAGTATCGAAGTATCAAAAGAGGAATTTCAAAATTGTTGAAGCAGTTTATTCTGTAGATAAAGGCTGTCAAATACTAATTTATCAAAGCAAATATCTTACAATGAAATAGCTAATAATGCGAGTAGATGACAAGTTATTTGACAAAATAAAAGATGAATATCAACTAAGGATAAAGTTAAGGGATTACAGCAAAATGTGTTATCATTTTGCGGGTCATAGTCGCTTTCTTAATTTTTTGTTTAGTATTCTGTTATCGTTTTTAGCCCTATATATTAGAGTAGTAACTCTATGAAGTATACTTTAATTCAACATGTTCCTATTACACAAATGTACATGATGATAAAAGTCATCTATGTTTTGTTTTTTTCGTTGTTTTTTTTTTTAATACTTTAACTCATCACACTCAAAAAGCCACCTTCAGTTTCCTGTTTTGATCAAAATACGTTCTTAAATGAACATCTTTGTATTCTACTATTCCCTTTCATATAAAAGATTTCACCAAAAATTAAAGTCATAAAATCAAAATTAATTTACTTACTTCTATTTATCCCATCATTTTTGTAAATTGTAACATGAACTTTATTACAAGAAATTCCAAAAAGGAAAAAAACGATCAAATTGTTAAATCCGCCGTAAATAATCTTATAAAGTTATGCAGCTAATCTTAAAATGAAATAACGTTAAAACGAATAACAAACATTAATCCATCCATAAGTTTATTTTAATCCTCTATAAGTTAAGTATATCTATCAAAGAACTGACTACAAATAATAAAATTTGGCAAGTTATTTTTCACAACTCTGAAACTTTAATACAATATTGACAATGCGGGCAATTTATGCAAGAAAGCTGTATAAACGTAAACTTGACATAAACCTTTAACACGTTTATTGCAGTAAATCATAAAAATAGTTCATGACAGAAACTTTAACGCACTAAAGACTAAATAATTATAACAAACATTTTCTAATTTGAGCTACTGTCATAAAATGACACAAGGTAACAATAGGCAGTATAACACCGGTAATAATTAGGAATGAAGAACTTTCATAAAAGACAATGGTGAAGAGTATAAAATTTCAAAGGTTTGAAAGCAGTTTAAGGCCCACATAATACAACAGATCCCACAACTGCGTTTTGATCAATGATAAAATATTTTTAAAAAAATAACAAGTTAAAAGTAGAATTTTCCGCATGAGAAGCATATCCTTTATTCTATATCCGAAATACAGTAATTATATCTAAACGTAGTTTAAATGTTTTCTCAAAGTTTCCCATTTATAAGAAAAAAATGAAAATGATAGTAATTTACTTTTTCAAAAAACATCGGTTAAAAAAGAGATTTCTACACTATAAAAATACAAACTACTTTAACCTTTTACGATGGTTCGTACAAATCATAATTTTCTGTCATTTCTTTTACCAAAAATACCTTTGATCATTATCATAACAAAATTTCAACTTTTTTGTACAAATCCGAAAAAGAAAACGAAATGAATGTTATTGTTAAAAAGCATTAAAAAATAATTAAGTCATTAATGCAATTACTCTTGTAATTCGTTAATTATATAAGTGTAGCCCTTTGAAATGAAAGTATTTAAACATTACCTAAAATAGCGAATGATGAAGGAGATAGCTATAACATTGACAGGCAAATGTCAACATGCACATTGTATTCTTGTTAGTCATTAGAAATTATAATTACTCTAACAAAGACGACAAAAATGTTGATGACAAAAACAACTACAACTTCATTTTCTATGAAGGTATGTATTCTTACATTTATTGTTAGTCACCACCAGGAAGCCGCCTGAAAACGCTTATTATAAATCCAGGAACCGAGCTGCTCAAACTTATCGAGTCTTTCAGTTTAGCCTTTTAAATCGTAGACATGTCAAACACCACAAAGAAAAGGTTGGTGATACATTTAGAAGTTCTTGTATCTTGAATGCTGGAATAAAATTCTAACGCCTAGACGTCCAGATAATTTAACTATGATAATTTTACAAGTACACAGACGCCTGGTCAGTACTACGGGAATGTTATAGACCAGTTTAAGTCATTTTACGTTATTCAAGAATCAACAAACTTATATCCCGGATTTTGTTTTGTAACAACACTTCTTTACTTTTACTTTCGCACGTGTTCACATATGCTATACCCTTCTTGCCTTATTGACGAGTTGACAGTTCACAATTTATTTTGCACACCATAGCTAACATCTAACTATATCAACATCTGCACCACATTATAAATTTGTATAGCTACATGATAAATGTGTTCATTAAAGATGTATTTTACTTAAGCTTAGATGCTAAAGTAGCAGTACTTGAATGCCTCTTTTAATATGAATTCGATCGACAAAAATGACTCATAAAGTAAAAGATTGGCAAAACAAAAAAGTAACACTATCAAACTGACATTACAGATATAGGCTAAAATAAAGACTATCAACATTTGTGTGATAATATCAAATTGTTTTGTTCATTCTGTCTTATTTGTTAGGTTATAAAGATTACTTGATCACCTTTTAAAATATCAGAGACCTCACAACTAGATATCCATCTATAATCAATTGGTCCTATTGACTGATTCTTTTGATACATACACCCCTTTTTAGCTATCTATCAAATCGATAAGCTTGGCAGGTTAAAGTAATGATTCAGGCAAAATATAAACACACATACAGTAAGAATACTGTGTGAATCTGTTAAAGAATTTAAATGTTAAATGGCAAAGATGTACGCTGAAGATAATGTAATAGGTTAGGGGATACATTTCAATGAATTTATTAAACCTAATCCAGATGTTTCTCTATGAAAGACAATTTTTCCATTTGATTTCAATGCCATTTTAAATAGTGTAATCTGCTTATTTAAACAACCATGATAAGCAACTTTACTTATTTTTGATGTCCATTACAAAAAGAGTTTTTGGACGCTTCTAATTCATTTGTTTAGTTTAAATTCAAACAAGAAATCTGAGAGACAAATAAATGACCATTGTTAAAGGTAACACAATCGATGTTAAACCTCAAAAGGTCAGCAAATCTCCCTGCTTTTATAAGAAATTATTTTAGTACAAATATTACTTGTGTCTTCCTTTCTCATTAGCAAAACATGTTTCTATCTATGAATAACATGAACCTAACAGTGTAGTAGTACAACGCTTTGCACTTAATTGTAATATAGCCCCCGGTCTAATTTATTCATGTTATTCTAAATATTTGATCAAGGACTGTCAATATTGCTTCATACTAAAGTCATAAAGTGTCATACCTTAGTTATTTCGAATACACTAAATAGTTACGTAAGGTTTCATAATACAACCATTACATTACTTTTAGGGGTTAACGTTTCTAACTTTTTACAAAGAGGATCATGCATATAAAACCATTTTAAGAACCCTGTAATACGATGAAATAATATACTGATGTATGCACAGTCGGGCTACAACACCTTCAAGGGGCATTTTCTAAAAGAAATTTCCTCTAAAACTTTGGGGGAAAAACTAGAAAAAAAATCGTTATTAAAGACCCTTACAAAAGACGGTGAAAATATTGAAATACACTCCCACCTTTGTTATTGTTTTATTTAAAAAAAGAAAGAAAACACCTTGTGATGATAAAGACATACACTGAATTTATTTCTAAATACAGAGAAAGACCGCTAAAATACTGCTCAGCTATACAACTTTGTAGGTATTGTCCTCGAGAAACCCGAGCAAGAACGATCTTGTTATAGCAAATAGTCTCCTGTAAAGTTTGTTCATGTTTAATGCTTGAAAATAGAAATGAGCCGCGTCACGACAAAACCAACATAGTGGGTTTGCGACCAGCATGGATCCAGACCACTCTGCGCATCCGCGCAGTCTGATCAGGATTCATGCTGTTCGCTATCAGTTTCTCTACTTGTTATAGGGGTTGTAAGCGAACAGCATGGATCCTGATCAGACTGCGCGGATGCGAAGGCTGGTCTGGATCCATGCTGGTCGCAAACGCATTATGTTGGTTTTGTCGTGACACGGCTCAAATGTCTTTTCATTTCTGTACTATTGTTAAATAATTTTGTAAAAGTAGCGTAAATACGTTTGACTTGCAAATTTGTTTAATGTTTTGATTTCTATTTTCCACTCATTGTTGTATCAACGAAATAACACATTTAAATGATGAATTTATAGTATTATAATAACATTTACTGCCTACAGAATTACAATGGAGCCTAGATTTATATTGAAAAATGTATATAGAATAACAATCCATGCATAATTTTGAAGAAAATATTCGCAAAAATATTTATTTAATGGTGAAATTATACTGTATGAAGGGAAGAGCTTTTCATATAGCCAACACTCTCACTATGTACTTTTTTGAACTTCAGCAGCGAGTTCGTCGCAATACAACGTAAAAACTATATTCACTAGATAAATATAGTCAGATTGAGTCTCACTGGGAACAAGGAAAATAAAGGCTTCGAACTCACTTCTTTGTCCATTTTTTATTGTGGTCAAATGTGTTTGTTTAAGATAATAGTAAATAACAAAACCCTGAAAATTATCATAAAGTACAATTCATAAGTAACAACTACGTATGAATATGATCACATCGGCCATGAAACAAGTAGTCATTGAAATGTGATATGTTTGCGCAGATTGAATTTTCAGTCATAAATGAGAGCCCCACTGCCTCATCAGTTCATATAGTTTCATTTACAGTAGTTAAACATCATTGTTATCTTTTCAAACTACAATTATACACTCGATTTAATTTTCCACCTGGTTTCATATCCACTTTTGTTATGTCGAAACCTTTAAGATAGACACACATCATTTCATTGTTCATTAACGTGAAACTTGTTTTTTTGTTACCAGATCTTGTTTTTTGTATAAGGTCTAGTTGTCACTCAAATAGCAATGTGATCATTCGTGTGACGCTGTATGTAAACGTTGGTTTTGTTTCGCGCTAACCGAAGGCAATAAAACCATTATAAGGGTGTAAAATGTGTGTTCATTAAAGTAGAACAAGAAAAAAAGCGTCTGAGCTTTAATTACTTTTGAAAATTCTCATGACATAAGTTATTATTCAAAATTACGTTTATAGTCATTTTGTAACTAATTGTAGTTTTAATTTATCTACTTTACAAGAAACACATCAAATATTTGTAGAATGCAATAAATTGTATATTATTGAATTTGAAAACTCTTAATGCATACATATTTCGTGGCGATACTTATGTGTCCATCTTGGTGAATTTTAAGGTTCGGACAATAATGACCTGAATTAAAAAGTCGGCATGCAACCAAACTACATACAATGAAGGAGAAATTTGTAGAAATCTATTTACCAAAATAGGTATTTATAATAGGTATGAATTAGACATGTTTATAAAAATGTTTGATGAAAATATACGTAAAGCAATATAAAAAGTAGTCTTTATTTAAAATCCAATATATGTAATTCAGTGTGTGTAAGATGAAAGTGACCAGCCTCTGCCACCAATAGAGACCCAGACCAGTCAGAACCACCGTGCTATCTGGCAAGGCTCTCTACTTATGGCTGACTTTCATATTGATAACTCCTGAATTGATAATGGGAAGTTAACAAAACAAAATAACCTGGAAAAGTCAATGTAGGAAACTGAAACTGAATATATAAAGCTTTAAAATATGCAATGATTTTAGAGGTAACTGACTCATAACGTTTTTTTAAAATTACAAATCAGAACGTACTTAGAACGTTGAATCTTGTTCCCTTTAGTATGATAAATGCTAGTGTTGTACACCAACTTTATATTAGTATCAAAATATATA